CAGTCTAGATACAACTACTGATATTGCTGTAAGCTACTGACTCACTATCAATGTACAGTCTAGATACAACTACTGATATTGCTGTAAGCTACTGACTCACTATCAATGTACAGTCTAGATACAACTACTGATATTGCTGTAAGCTAATGACTCACTATCAACGTACACTACAACTACTGATATTACTGTAAGCTAATGACTCGACTCACTGACTCACTATCATGTATTAGATACTAATGACTCACTATCAATGTACAGTCTAGATACAACTACTGATATTGCTGTAAGCTACTGACTCACGACCAGTGTACAGTCTAGATACAACTACTGATATTGCTGTAAGCTACTGACTCACGACCAGTGTACAGTCTAGATACAACTACTGATATTGCTGTAAGCTACTGACTCACGACCAGTGTACAGTCTAGATACAACTACTGATATTGCTGTAAGCTACTGACTCACGACCAGTGTACAGTCTAGATACAACTACTGATATTGCTGTAAGCTACTGACTCACGACCAGTGTACAGTCTAGATACAACTACTGATATTGCTGTAAGCTACTGACTCACGACCAGTGTACAGTCTAGATACAACTACTGATATTGCTGTAAGCTACTGACTCACGACCAGTGTACAGTCTAGATACAACTACTGATATTGCTGTAAGCCACTGACTCACGACCAGTGTACAGTCTAGATACAACTACTGATATTGCTGTAAGCCACTCACTCCAGTCACGACCAGTGTACAGTCTAGATACAACTACTGTGTACAGTCTAGATATTGCTGTGAAGCTACTGACTCACGACCAGTGTACAGTCTAGATACAACTACTGATATTGCTGTAAGCTACTGACTCACGACCAGTGTACAGTCTAGATACAACTACTGATATTGCTGTAAGCCACTGACTCACGACCAGTGTACAGTCTAGATACACCTAGTGATATTGCTGTAAGCTACTGACTCACGACCAGTGTACAGTCTAGATACAACTACTGATATTGCTGTAAGCTTCTGACTCACGACCAGTGTACAGTCTAGATACAACTACTGATATTGCTGTAAGCTGCTGACTCACGACCAGTGTACAGTCTAGATACACCTAGTGATATTGCTGTAAGCTACTGACTCACGACCAGTGTACAGTCTAGATACACCTACTGATATTGCTGTAAGCTACTGACTCACGACCAGTGTACAGTCTAGATACAACTACTGACAGTCTAGATACTCAACCAGTGTACAGTCTGATACAACTACTGATGATATTGCTGCTGTAAGCTACTGACTCACGACCAGTGTACAGTCTAGATACAACTACTGATATTGCTGTAAGCTTCTGACTCACGACCAGTGTACAGTCTAGATACAACTACTGATATTGCTGTAAGCTACTGACTCACGGCCAGTGTACAGTCTAGATACAACTACTGATATTGCTGTAAGCTGCTGACTCACGACCAGTGTACAGTCTAGGTACTGCTATTGATACTGATGCACTCGATATCGTATCCAAATAAAACTGTTCAGCTCCAATATATATAATATATTGTATAACAGAAGACTGAGCCGTATCTTGGAACAGGGGAAGACACTCTTCTAGTGTGTACTCAGGCCTGGCAACGTCTCTGTGTAGTGAGAGTCGTCTTTGATTGGGGAGATCTGGCGATTACTTCACCTACTCCTGGAACAATGAGGTCAGCGCCAATCAATTCCATCAAAGAGTCAGAACTTCTTTCGAGATCTTACCGAGTCATTACGAGATCAGGCGAGAGCTCTGAAAAGGCGGCCATCTTGGTCGATGGTATTAGACGTGATGAAGATGGTCCGCGACAATTTGCGCTAAATGTAGGACGATTTAACCCACTGATTCACCTCTGGGGCTTGGGAAGCGAGGAAAACTCTTCGTATATTGAAATGCTTTTATTAGCTGGTTCAATGGGAACTGAGAGAAAATCACTCTTAGCTAAGATGATAGGTTCCATAAAGCCTCAGGTTAAAGACAGGCGCTAATTAGAGACATGTTTCTATGAATATGTCGAAATGTCGAAATGATTTGGTGAGAATGAAAGTAGCTGTTTGATGGCCATCATTTGCTCAATACGGATGGTATTGAATACGCATCCTCCTGAGTCGGCGTGGCAATATTTTGTGAAAGAATGTGTGTTTGGAGTGAGAGTGCTCTGATGAAGAGATGCACCAACTGACGTATTCTGCCTGATAAAAGAGTTTTTGAAATCCATCAGAGCAAGCTGCAGAGATGGAATATCAACCTGGGCTGTATTGGCCACTGTTCAAGTAGTTTTCATGGCTGCAACGATCTCAATACTGGTGTTACAATTAGGTTTTACAATATCTTGTCTATTTGGTCATGTCACACACCGTTTCCACAATATTCTATTTGTTGGTGTATGTTTTTACTAATTCTAATCAAGTTGTTGGTTACAGTGGTCTAGCTATGCCGATCACGAAAATCTTTGTGACAATGGACAATAGCTAGTTATCACTGTTTTGGTCTAGCTACTATTACATATGCTAGTTATCACTGTGCCGGTCACCTTTGTGACAATGGACAATAGCTAGTTATCACTGTGCCGGTCACCTGTATTACAATGGACAATAGCTAGTTATCACTGTGCCGGTCACCTTGTAATATAGACAATAGCTAGTTATCACTGTGCCGGTCACCCTGTATTACAATGCACAATAGTTATCACTTATCACTGTAGCTAGTTATCACTGTGCCAGTCACCTGTATTACAATGGACAATAGCTAGTTATCACTGTGCCAGTCACCTGTATTACAATGGACAATAGCTAGTTATCACTGTGCCGGTCACCTGTATTACAATGGACAATAGCTAGTTATCACTGTGCCGGTCACCTGTATTACAATGGACCTAGTTATCACCTGTAGTCACCTTGTATTAATGGACAATAGCTAGTTATTTTGTGCCGGTCACCTAGTTAATAGCTACTGTTATCATTGTGCGGTCACCTATATTAAATCTAGCATATTTTGTTTGGATATACAGTGTGAACATTTTCATTGATATCTGAGTAGATATCATCTAGCATGTTTTGTTTCCTGTCCCCGTGTGAGATCGATAGATCTAGCATGTTTTGTTTCCTGTCCCCGTGTGAGATCGATAGATCTTGCATGTTCTGTTTACTGTCCCCGTGTGAGATCGATAGATCTAGCATGTTTTCTTTACTGTCCCTGTGTGAGATCGATAAATCTAGCATGTTTTGTTTCCTGTCCCTGTGTGAGATCGATAAATCTAGCATGTTTTGTTACCTGTCCCCTTGTGAGATCGATAGATCTTGCATGTTTTGTTTCCTGTCCCCGTGTGAGATCGATAAATCAAGCATGTTTTGTTTCCTGTCCCTGTGTGAGATCGATAGATCTTGCATGTTTTGTTTCCTGTCTCTGTGTGAGATCAATAGATCTAGCATGTTTTGTTTCCTGTCCCCGTGTGAGATCGATAGATCTTGCATGTTCTGTTTACTGTCCCCGTGTGAGATCGATAGATCTTGCATGTTTTGTTTACTGTCCCTGTGTGAGATCGATAAATCTAGCATGTTTTGTTTCCTGTCCCCGTGTGAGATCGATAAATCTAGCATGTTTTCTTTACTGTCCCTGTGGGAGATCGATAAATCTAGCATGTTTTCTTTACTGTCCCTGTGTGAGATCGATAGATCTTACATGTTTTCTTTCCTGTACCTGTGTGAGATCCATAGATCTTACATGTTCTGTTTACTGTCCCTGTGTGAGATCGATAGATCTTGCATGTTCTGTTTACTGTACCTGTGTGAGATCGATAGATCATGTTTTGTTTACTGTACCTGTGTGAGATCGATAGATCTTGCATGTTCTGTTTACTGTACCTGTGTGAGATCGATAGATCTTGCATGTTCTGTTTACTGTACCTGTGTGAGATCGATAGATCTTGCATGTTCTGTTTACTGTACCTGTGTGAGATCGATAGATCTTACATGTTTTCTTTACTGTACCTGTGTGAGATCGATAAATCTAGCATGTTTTGTTTACTGTCCCCGCGTGAGGTCGATAGATCTTTCATGTTTTGTTTCCTGTTCTCTGAGGAAGATTTACATATGTCTATTAATTAACACGTGCTTCCATTCCGGTCTCAGAACCAGTCAGCTTACCACAAAGATGTTAAAAAACAAAGTGGTTGTTCCCGGTCAGGCTTGGCTAATGCTTTTGTCAAACTTTCAGGATGTAATGTTTTGTCTGTTTGTTTGTCTGTGGAAAACACACTTTGCCGAGCTAAATATTTATATTTCTGGTGTTTGATATGTGAGAGAAACATGACTGGTGATCGTTTCGTCAAAACTGACATACATGAAAACATCTGCTGCTAGGCATTCCGTCCACCCTTGGGGGAAACGGCAAGCTGTTAATGGTGCATCTCAGCAAAACGACATTTAATGGTAATATGTCTGGCACTGTATGATTTCCATGGAGACTGAATTACTACTAGTTCAGAAATCTCTTTGTTGGATGGGGGTCGTTGGATAGTTGGTATTACGGCAACATGTTCATTCACTGCAAGGGAGCCTTCAGACTCACATGAGTAGATTTGAGGGGATACAATAGTTCGGCGCTTGAAGCGTTCACCGTTAAGAATGAAACAAGTTTTGATTTCCCACATGGGTCCAATTATTGAAACCCCTTGGTGACCCGCCTTTATTCTGAATATCATTTAATATCCCTTACTTGTATTGGTGAGTGAGTAAGTGAGTTTCGTTTTACGCCGTTTTAGCAATATTCCAGCAATATCACGGCGGGGGACACCAGAAATGGGCTTCACACATTGTACCCATGTAGGGAATCGGACCCGGGTCTCAGGCGTGACCAGCGAACGCTTCAACCACTAGGCTACCCCACCGCCCCCTTGTATTGGATTAGCAGTACTAATGACATTTTGTCAATGTAAATCCACTGAACCCATTTCGTTTATTCCAGAATCCCTGGAAGGAAATGATGTGTCGGACATCTCAGACTTCATTGACCTTGATGATCCCTTCTACGCCCATGAAACCTCTTCAGAAGTCAAAGGTCAAACAACAACCAATGTGAATATTGATGCCTTAGTCACAGAGAAGACCACCCCAGTTGCAGTTTCCGGAGGAAATGACATCATTAGTGACGACGACGATGACCTTGAACTGTCTGGAGCAGGGTCAGGGTCTGGAATGGATACTGACCTGAGCGCCCACCAGCTCAACATCACAACCTTCCCCATACCCGGTGAGTTCCCATCTCTTACACAGTGCCCGTTCGTAGTTGCGAGGGTGAAAGTGGCTTGTATGAAGGTCGCTGAACATACTCAGGATCTCAGGATTTTGGGATGTCAGTGTGTTTAACTGGGAAGTTGGTGTAATTATATACATGCATAATGTGTTGACGGACGCTCTCTGTGGACAGTTCTGTTTCTTGGGTTTGATGTTGACGGACGCTCTCTGTAGACAGTTCAGTTTCTTGGGTTTGATGTTGATGGACGCTCTCTGTAGACAGTTCTGTTTCTTGGGTTTGATGTTGACGGACGCTCTCTGTAGACAGTTCTGTTTCTTGGGTTTGATGTTGACGGACGCTCTCTGTAGACAGTTCTGTTTCTTGGGTTTGATGTTGACGGACGCTCTCTGTAGACAGTTCTGTTTCTTTTGATGGTTTGATGTTGACGGACGCTCTCTGTAGACAGTTCTGTTTCTTGGGTTTGATGTTGACGGACGCTCTCTGTAGACAGTTCTGTTTCTTGGGTTTGATGTTGACGGACGCTCTCTGCGGACAGTTCTGTTTCTTGGGTTTGATGTTGACGGACGCTCTCTGTAGACAGTTCTGTTTCTTGGGTTTGATGTTGACGGACGCTCTCTGTAGACAGTTCTGTTTCTTGGGTTTGATGTTGACGGACGCTCTCTGCGGACAGTTCTGTTTCTTGGGTTTGATGTTGACGGACGCTCTCTGTAGACAGTTCTGTTTCTTGGGTTTGATGTTGACGGACGCTCTCTGTAGACAGTTCTGTTTCTTGGGTTTGATGTTGACGGACGCTCTCTGTGGACAGTTCAGTTTCTTGGGTTTGATGTTGACGGACGCTCTCTGTAGACAGTTCAGTTTCTTGGGTTTGATGTTGACGGACGCTCTCTGCGGACAGTTCAGTTTCTTGGGTTTGATGTTGACGGACGCTCTCTGTAGACAGTTCTGTTTCTTGGGTTTGATGTTGACGGACGCTCTCTGTAGACAGTTCTGTTTCTTGGGTTTGATGTTGACGGACGCTCTCTGTAGACAGTTCTGTTTCTTGGGTTTGATGTTGACGGACGCTCTCTGCGGACAGTTCTGTTTCTTGGGTTTGATGTTGACGGACGCTCTCTGTAGACAGTTCTGTTTCTTGGGTTTGATGTTGACGGACGCTCTCTGTAGACAGTTCAGTTTCTTGGGTTTGATGTTGACGGACGCTCTCTGCGGACAGTTCTGTTTCTTGGGTTTGATGTTGACGGACGCTCTCTGTAGACAGTTCTGTTTCTCGGGTTTGATGTTGACGGACGCTCTCTGCGGACAGTTCTGTTTCCTGGGTTTGATGTTGACGGACGCTCTCTGTAGACAGTTCTGTTTCTTGGGTTTGATGTTGACGGACGCTCTCTGCGGACAGTTCTGTTTCTTGGGTTTGATGTTGACGGACGCTCTCTGTAGACAGTTCTGTTTCTTGAGTTTGATGTTGACGGACGCTCTCTGTGGACAGTTCTGTTTCTTGGGTTTGATGTTGACGGACGCTCTCTGTAGACAGTTCTGTTTCTTGGGTTTGATGTTGACGGACGCTCTCTGTAGACAGTTCTGTTTCTTGGGTTTGATGTTGACGGACGCTCTCTGTAGACAGTTCTGTTTCTTGGGTTTGATGTTGACGGACGCTCTCTGTAGACAGTTCTGTTTCTTGGGTTTGATGTTGACGGACGCTCTCTGTAGACAGTTCAGTTTCTTGGGTTTGATGTTGACGGACGCTCTCTGTAGACAGTTCTGTTTCTTGGGTTTGATGTTGACGGACGCTCTCTGTAGACAGTTCAGTTTCTTGGGTTTGATGTTCACGGACGCTCTCTGCGGACAGTTCTGTTTCTCGGGTTTTAAAGGGTTCTAAAGAGTAACACATTATCTTCACTGCGGACAGTTCTGTTCCTTGGGTTTGATGTTGACGGACGCTCTCTGTAGACAGTTCTGTTTCTTGGGTTTGATGTTGATGGACGCTCTCTGCGGACAGTTCTGTTTCTTGGGTTTGATGTTGACGGACGCTCTCTGTAGACAGTTCTGTTTCTTGGGTTTGATGTTGATGGACGCTCTCTGTAGACAGTTCTGTTTCTTGGGTTTGATGTTGACGGACGCTCTCTGTAGACAGTTCTGTTTCTTGGGTTTGATGTTGACGGACGCTCTCTGTAGACAGTTCAGTTTCTCGGGTTTGATGTTGACGGACGCTCTCTGCGGACAGTTCTGTTTCCTGGGTTTGATGTTGACGGACGCTCTCTGTAGACAGTTCTGTTTCCTGGGTTTGATGTTGACGGACGCTCTCTGTAGACAGTTCAGTTTCTTGGGTTTGATGTTGACGGGCGCTCTCTGCGGACAGTTCTGTTTCTTGGGTTTGATGTTGACGGACGCTCTCTGTAGACAGTTCTGTTTCTTGGGTTTGATGTTGACGGACGCTCTCTGCGGACAGTTCTGTTTCTTGGGTTTGATGTTGACGGACGCTCTCTGTAGACAGTTCTGTTTCTTGGGTTTGATGTTGACGGACGCTCTCTGTAGACAGTTCTGTTTCTTGGGTTTGATGTTGACGGACGCTCTCTGTAGACAGTTCAGTTTCTTGGGTTCGATGCTGACGGACGCTCTCTCTGGACAGTTCAGTTGAGGTCCACAGCAGCGATACCGGGTTCTAAAGAGTAACACATTATCGTCACCCTTGTGCACTGAGATGAAGTATAATACTGGCCGTATATAGATCTGAAGTACTACTGAAGTACTACATATATTATACTGACCTTCTCTCTTCTGATCCAGTGTCAGAGCGATGTTGACTGTCTGCCGTGCAAATGGTGTCATTATTGAGAAAATATTGTTTTCATGAATTGGTAGCTCCTCTTGTTTCACTTTATTGTTTCGATTGTAACTTTTATTGTGTTTGAGGGCGGCGTTAATGGACGTCGTTTGTATTTTGCAGAAGGAGAGGGCATCAAGCTGAGCGCTGAGGCCACAACTGCTGAAAGTAAGTTTATACTGAACATCTCTCAGTCTACTCTGTATTAATCTTTATTCAGAACTGGGGCGGTGGGGTAGCCTAATGGTTAAAGTGTTGGCTCGTCACGCCGAAGACCCGGGTTCGAATCCCCACATGGGCACAATGTGTGAAGCCCATTTCTGGTGTCCCCCGCCGTGATGTTGCTGGAATATTGCTAAAAGCGGCGTAAAACCAAACTCAGTCAGTCAGTCAGTTTATTCAGAACTGAAGGCCACAGGCCCATAGTACAGGTATATACAAAGTTCAAAAGCAGAGTGGGTTTCTCTTCAATATCGCATGGTATATGAACAAAGCAATATTTTCAATCAATATACGATCAGAAGTTGACAACAGTTGGATAAATTTATGTTTTGACGGTTGTTTACTCTACTCTGTAGAAAGTGTATAGATGCACGTCGGAGAGAAACTATGACACCTCCGAATGAGATGCAAACAAAAAAGTACAAGAATCTGTATCTTACTGAGATTTTCATATGCCACAGCAGGTCAGCCAATGAACTTGTCTCTGTCTCCAGGAAGGGAGTGGCACGTACCTTGCTCAGTGACTCCTATGTTAGGTATTGGGACATGGGTGGCAAGTCATAAAAGAGTCGCAGTTAGCTACGTCCCCCTCGTGTGCCCAACACATGTGATCGTGGGTTCGAGTCCCGGTTTGTCCTGATTCAAGGTCTTTGTGGGTTTCACGAAGAGACAGTCATAGACCATCACTAAGGAATTCCCTCAACATCAAGCTGTCATAAAGTGGTACACTGAAACACTATCACTAAGGAATTCCCTCAACATTAAGCTGTCATAAAGTGGTACACTGAAACACCATCACTAAGGAATTCCCTCAACATGAAGCTGTCATAAAGTGGTACACTCAAACACCATCACTAAGGAATTCCCTCAACATCAAGCTGTCATAAAGTGGTACACTGAAACACTATCACTAAGGATTTCCCTCAACATCAAGCTGTCATAAAGTGGTACACTGAAACACCATCACTAAGGAATTCCCTCAACATCAAGCTGTCATAAAGTGGTAAACTGAAACACTATCACTATGGAATTCCCTCAACATTAAGCTGTCATAAAGTGGTACACTGAAACACCATCACTAAGGAATTCCCTCAACATCAAGCTGTCATAAAGTGGTACACTGAAACACCATCACTAAGGAATTCCCTCAACATTAAGCTGTCATAAAGTGGTACACTGAAACACCATCACTAAGGAATTCCCTCAACATCAAGCTGTCATAAAGTGGTACACTGAAACACCATCACTAAGGAATTCCCTCAACATATAAAGTGGTAAACTGAAACACTATCACTAAGGAATTCCCTCAACATTAAGCTGTCATAAAGTGGTACACTGAAACACCATCACTAAGGAATTCCCTCAACATCAAGCTGTCATAAAGTGGTAAACTGAAACATTGTTAACACAGCGTCAACTCCAGCTCGATAACTAATAATAATAGTGGACATTTGCCAGTGTCCACTCACTCATGCATGCTCATGGAGCATTAACACTATTTACAGAAGAAGGGAAAATGTCAATTACAGGCTTTAGTAAACAGGAATGTCTTTAGGGCCTTCTTAAAAGAGTCCAGCATACAAGCATATAGATTCCACAGATACGCTCACACTCAGTTACCGACAACATGCCACCTCCGCATCTACGTCGAAACCCCTGCCTCTATGTCAACCTCAATCTCAACCTCTATATCAACCTCTACATCAACCTCCATCTCAACCTCTATATCAACTCCATCTCAACCTCTATCAATATCTATATCAACTTCCATCTCAACCTCTATATCGATCTCCATCTCAGCCTCTACATCAATATCTATATCAACCTCCATCTCAACCTCTATATCAACCTCCATCTCAACCTCTATATCAATATCTATATCAACCTCCATCTCAGCCTCTACATCATCCTCCATCTCAACCTCTATATCAACATCTATATCAACGTCCATCTCAACCTCTATATCAACCTCCATCTCAACCTCTATATCAACATCTATATCAACCTCCATTTCAGCCGCTACGTCAACCTCCATCTCAACCTCTATATAAACCTCTATATCAACGTCCATCTCAATCTCTATATCAACCTCTATATCAACCTCCACCTCAACCTCTATATCATCCTTCATCTCAACCTCTACATAAACCTCCCTCTCAACCTCTATATCAGCCTCTATCAACCTCTAATATCAACCTCTAACCTCCATCTCAACCAACATCTATCAAACCTCTATATCCAACCTCCTCTCAACCTCTATATCAACCTCTGTATATCAGCCTCCATCTCAACCTCTACATCAACCTCCCTCTCAACCTCTATATCAACCTATACCTCAACCTCTATATCAGCCTTCATCTCAACCTCTACATCAACCTCCCTCTCAGCCTCTATATCAGCCTCCATCTCAACATCTATATCACCCTCCATCTCAACCTCTATATCAACCTCAACCTCAACTTCTTTATGAACCTCAACCTCAACCTCTATATCAACCTCTATATCAGCCTCCATCTCAACCTCTATGTCAACCTCTACACCAACCACCCTCTCAACCTCTATATCAACATCTATATCAACGTCCATCTTAACCTCTTTATCAACCTCCCTCTCAGCCTCTATATCAACCTCTACATCAACCTCTATACCAACCTCCACCTCAACCTCTATATCATCCTTCATCTCAACCTCTACATCAACCTCCCTCTCAACCTCTATATCAACCTCTACATCAACCTCTGTATCACCCTCCCTCTCAACCTCTACATCAACCTCCCTCTCAACCTCTTTATCAACCTCTACATCAACCTCTGTATCACCCTCCCTCTCAACCTCTATATCAACCTCAACCTCAACCTCTACATCAACCTCCCTCTCAACCTCTATATCAACCTCTATATCAGCCTCCATCTCAACCTCTGTATCACCCTCCCTCTCAACCTCTATATCAGCCTCCATCTCAACCTCTTTATCAGCCTCCATCTCAACCTCTATATCATCCTTCATCTCAACCTCTACATCAACCTCCCTCTCAACCTCTATATCAACCTCTACATCAACCTCTGTATCACCCTCCATCTCAACCTCTATATCAACCTCAACCTCAACCTCTACATCAACCTCCCTCTCAACCTCTATATCAACCTCTATATCAGCCTCCATCTCAACCTCTACATCAGCCTCCATCTCAACCTCTACATCAACCTCCCTCTCAACCTCTATATCAACCTCTACATCAACCTCTGTATCACCCTCCCTCTCAACCTCTATATCAACCTCAACCTCAACCTCTACATCAACCTCCCTCTCAACCTCTATATCAACCTCTATATCAGCCTCCATCTCAACCTCTACATCAGCCTCCATCTCAACCTCTACATCAACCTCCACATCAACCTCCCTCTCAACCTCTAGATTATCCCTTATCATCCACATCAGTATCAGCCCCATATCCACCTCACGTTATAACAACCAGGGGGTGATTACATCAATAAGGCAACATTACTTTATTACAAGCGTGAGTTGGGTTCAAATAGAACGTCGACATCGGCATCATCCCGCCCTACAGCGACCAAGAGAAATACCCCTGCCCCCCTCATCCAACCTTTCTTTGTGTCGAGGCTTCCATCCCCGTAATGAGGAAAACATTGAATGCCTCACGTACGAAAAGAAAGGAAACATAAAACTGATGTCGTTTTAGATTATTGTCTGGCGACATTAAGGCATGGACGATAATCCCCAGAAATTCTCCTCCGAGAGGGTTGTGATGCCGGCACCATCAACGTGGTGCAAGACCACATCATCTACATACACTTTCCTGCATCTGGATCAACTAATCTCCCTCTGTCAAATGAAAGCAATTTCACCTAGTCCGTTTCTAAATATCGTTCTCGCGTGTTCCACTGCACCCGGCCGCACAACGCTGACGGCGAATACACCGTGGACGACGATCGATAGATGTGATATCACAATTTATTGCCTCTCCTTATTATTTATTCCTTTATGTCGATAGGCTATGCTTGTCTTTAACATATAAATCATATAGATGAGCCATTTGGAGAGGGATGCTGAATTTGATTATGTTTTTCAAGGTAGGACGGGGTTACGAGTGTGACTGCAGTGATCAGCGTTAATCTCCGCCAGTGTTTGCAGGAAGACCCCATACAACTGGGCTTTGTCTAGCTGGGGTGACATTATCACGGGAATGTATTAAGGTTGTATTTAGGGGTCAATAAGCAGACATGAATTACCTTCAACACACAAGTCCTCGCTTCAAGTGGTTCCCTTGCGTGTGGAAGTCGGTTTGTCCCAAACTTCAGCTTTATCGACCGGTTAAATATTAATATGATTTAAACGCTATTAAAACCACCAAAGCTGCCAGTTTTATGTCATTAGAACGATAACTCATTTTGGAATACCAAAATTTAAGAACATGAAATTTTGAAATTATGTTGCCAGTAGTTTCTTTGCATCGTTAGGTCGAGTTATATGTCGGAGTGAGTGAGTAAAAAGATATTCAGAAATATTTTGTGCTGGTGATTTTGAGTCTCGTGGGTCCTATCAATAAATCCCCGGTTCATACTTACTTTGTAATTCTTTGATATGAAATAAAGACACGTCATATCTGCCCAGCGTTCTCAAACACGGACATGGAAGAAATTCAACGGGATATGATTAGAGAGAATTCCCACTTTTGGGGCGTAATTCAACAAACTTGTTTGCAAACTCTTGCCACGCTCACGGATAAAGACGAGTTCATCGTATGTTTGTGCTGTGATTTCAAGGTTTCCTGTGCCAAAATAATTATTTCATACATCACAAAGTACCGTCATGAAGACCGCACCGTTTCGCCAGTGTTTGTGGATGTGATCCAGGCGTATTCTAACCATTACTATGTATCGCTGTCTTGCTTCTATTAGTAGTCATTCTCACACAGGTCTGTTTGTGCCCGACACTGATCCAGCATTGATCTAAAGAACATGATCAAAATATGCTGTAAGAACAAACAAGTTGCGTTCATGTACACCAAAATATTTGAGCCAAAATTTATTTTGTGAAGAGCTCTGACCAAGTAAATAGGAATACAAGAAAGACGTTTTTTATCAATTAACTCATCCCGTTCATGAATACAAATCTTGGCCATTGTTTAATGACCAACAATCCATCCAAAGAAACGACATTGAAATGAACGTGTGTTTGTGAATGCTTTGTTGACGTTGTTTCAGGTTCGAAACTTACACCGTCAAAACCATCGACATTGTCTACATCTACAACAGCGTCTACTACAACAACAAAGCCAATCACAGGTGACCATATGTCTGTACGACGGTCTCTCGACATTCTAAACCTCTATATACCAGCCTCTCAGTAAACAGAAACTATTTCTATTCCAGCCTCTTGACATTCAGTGCCTGTGTAAGCAGAACCTATTCCTATACCAGATTTTGATACCCAGAACCTCCCTCTATACGGGCCTCTCGATAAACGGAAACCTCTTGTATCGACAACTCTGTACTAAGTCATTCTTTCACGACTGGTATATCTCAGTAATCAACCATTCTCTTTTTAACGACCTCTCTATATTACATCACTCTCTTCAGCGATATCTCTCAACCAATTTTGCTATATCATCACCTCTGTATTCATCTACTCTCTGAACGGACATCTCTGCAAGCAACCATTCTTACTATAACGCTCTGTAATCAACCGACATTGCTATACTGTCATCTCTTTAATCAACCATTATTGCTATACCGACTTCTCTATAATTGACCACTCTCGCTAAACCGACATTTCTGGAGTCACTTAAAGCTTACATTTTCCTTTTTAACATTTTTAGAATCAACAACACAAGATAAGGAGGCCAGGACAACCGCCAGAGGTAAACAAACTTTAAAGTTGCCCTTTGACATCTCACAACACATTTTGAAGCATTAAACTTGCATATTACGAACACCTTGCATATTGCGGGCAATCTGGCGAATGTGTGACCCACTAAAATGAGCGACGTGTACACAGTGTCATGTAGAAGACACGCTCAGGTTGCTTTATGGAACCTGATATAGGTTACAGGTCGGTGTTAGTGCCTTAACATCAACAGGTACCATTATGGAACATGATCTAGGTTACAGGTCCGTGTTTGTGCCTTAACTGCAACAGGTACCTGTATGGAACCTGATATAGGTTACAGGTCGGTGTTAGTGCCTTAACAGTAACAGGTACCTTTATGGAACCTGATATAGGTTACAGGTCGGTGTTAGTGCCTTAACAGTAACAGGTACCTTTATGGAACCTGATATAGGTTACAGGTCGGTGTTAGTGCCTTAACATCAACAGGTACCATTATGGAACCTGATATAGGTTACAGGTCGGTGTTGGTGCCTTAACATGCAATAGGTTACAGGTCGGTGTTAGTGCCTTAACCAACAGGTTTATGGAACCTGATATAGGTTACAGGTCGGTGTTGGTGCCTTAACATCAACAGGTATAGGTTACAGGTCGGTTTATGCCTTAACCTGATGATATAGGTTACAGGTCGGTGTTAGTGCCTTAACATCAACAGGTACCTTTATGGAACCTGATATAGGTTACAGGTCGGTGTTAGTGCCTTAACATCAACAGGTACCTTTATGGAACCTGATATAGGTTACAGGTCGGTGTTAGTGCCTTAACTGCAACAGGTACCTTTATGGAACCTGATATAGGTTACAGGTCGGTGTTGGTGCCTTAACTGCAACAGGTACCTTTATGGAACCTGATAGGTCGGTGTTGGTGCCTTAACTGCAACAGGTACCTTTATGGAACCTGATATAGGTTAACGGTGTTAGTGCCTTAACATGTACCTTTATGGAACCTTATGGGTTACAGGTCGGTGTTAGTGCCTTAACATCAACAGGTACCTTTATGGAACCTGATATGGGTACCTTTATGGAACCTGATATAGGTTACAGGTACCTTTATGGAACCTGATATAGGTTACAGGTCGTGTTAGTGCCTTAACTGCCCCTTTATGGAACCTGATATAGGTTACAGGTCGGTGTTAGTGCCTTAACCCCTTATGAACCTGATATAGGTTACAGGTCGGTGTTAGTGCCTTAACATCAACAGGTACCTTTATGGAACCTGATATAGGTTACAGGTCGGTGTTAGTGCCTTAACTGCAACAGGTACCTTTATGGAACCTGATATAGGTTACAGGTCGGTGTTAGTGCCTTAACATCAACAGGTACCTTTATGGAACCTGATATAGGTTACAGGTCGGTGTTGGTGCCTTAACTGCAACAGGTACCTTTATGGAACCTAATATAGGTTACACGTCGGTGTTAGTGCCATAACATCAACAGGTACCTTTATGGAACCTGATATAGGTTACAGGTCGGTGTTAGTGCCTTAACAGAAGGTTGGAAGCAACAAGTGAAACAATTCTGGCTTGTACAACTTCTGTGCTACTCTCTACTGATGCTACAGGAGAACTAGATTAGCCACAGTGTCGCATATAGATCACATTTCTGTTACATGGATCTACCAGGAAGAGGCTAGACGAACTTAGCACAATCGTATTTGCAATTCATGTCATTGGGAGTTCAGTATGCCGGACAAATGTACACTCTCAGAAAGATTAAATATACATACACATTGCCAGAATCTTATACTGTCGGGTCAGGCTCACCTGACTTTAAGCATGTAGCCATGACGACGCCCGAGCGTTCACCGCCTCCTCTATGCCCACTGATCTGAATGTTTCACAGAGTTCCCCGAGACGACGTCGCTGCTGCCGACATCCGCCATAGTGGACGACAACGAGGATGAGGACGAAAGAGACGACGGTGCTGCTGACGACTCCATGGTTGACTGGGCCATCAGAGGTACCCCAACCATCGCCTAACTGTACATACACCTTATCACAAATGCATCAGGGGTACCCCAACCATCACCTTACTGTATACACACCCAAACCCAAGGTCTTGAGGGGTATCCCAGCCGTCCAGCACATACATTTTTATCCTTAACCATCAGGTGTATCCCAGTTATCATCCGTAAGATGCTTGCACCGGTACCCAAACCTGAGGCTTCAGAGGTAACCGAGCATGACGCACATGCACTTTAACCATGGGCCATCAGATGGAATATTCATAAATATGGACGGATCGACATAACTGGGGTTTTAGAATACACCACGAGGTCACTCTAAGCCTGTAGCTACTACGTGCGTCTACACCCCTCTGTTCCAGAAGGTGGCGATGAGGATGGAGACGAGGCTCTGTACGAGACAACCTCACTTCGACCTTCAACTATGCCAACCACCACCAAAGTCGTTGTCCCGACGGAGAAGATGAAGGAGATCCCGGCCCTCCTCGACATCATCCAGGAAGCTGGGGCTGGAGGTAAGTGCTACAGTGTCTGTGTGGACTGACAAGTTTAGTTCCCAGTTCACGAACAGCTGACAGCCAACCTGAAACTTGTGTTACCACCTTGTGGTGTATGTGTAGACTGACAGGTTTAGTTCCCAGTTCACGAACAGCTGACAGCCAACCTGAAACTTGTGTTACCACCTTGTGGTGTATGTGTGGACTGACAGGTTTAGTTCCCAGTTCACGAACAGCTGACAGCCAACCTGAAACTAGTGTTACCACCTTGTGGTGTATGTGTGGACTGACAGGTTTAGTTCCCAGTTCACGAACAGCTGACAGCCAACCTGAAACTTGTGCTACCACCTTGTGGTGTATGTGTAGACTGACAGGTTTAGTTCCTAGTTCACGGACAGCTGACAGCCAACCTGAAACTTGAATTGTGTATGTGGTCCAGGGCCAGTCCGGTGGAAACTGCTTAATGGGTGAATAACAACAAACACGTGTATAGTAGTATTGTGTAGTTGATCTACTGCGGACCTCACGGTGAATTAATGAACAGTGAACTTTAATACCTGCTTGTAGCCACTTTGCCAGACTTCATGGCCCGTAACATGTCAATCTGGCGTATCCTGCTGCAGCTCACTCTGGCAGTATGATTGTAGAACAACATATTCTGTGACAAGTTAGATTTGGTGTATTGGATGTAGAACGCGACACCAAAGAAGACAGTCTGGCTGTATTGAGTGTAAAACGCGACACCAAAGAAGTAAGTCTGGCTGTATTGAGTGTAGAACTTTGCACCCAACAAGAAGTGAATCTGGATCGTTTGAGCACAGACCGTCAGACCAGGCAAGTCTATCTGGCCGCTTGCAGCATGCCGTCTCTGCCGTCGGTGCTGTCACTTATGTTGCGGCGCGTCACTGTATATCACTGGTGAACGTGGCAACTTGACACGGCAGATACGGCAACCTCAACTACGACGGTGAAGTAGACCCCGTGGACGTGTTATTATCCCCGTAATTATAGTGCCGGTATGAAATCATTAAGGTGTCGAGGAGGGGAGACTATAAATGTCAGTTAGTTTCTCTTTACTCTGGCCTCCTTTGTAATTTGGCATCATTAGATACTGGAGGTCTGGGTTTCACAATGGACACGCGTAAATATTTAAAGTCACTAACACACTAAATGCCAGGAACGTTAGGGATATAACGGCAACTTCAGATACAGCGATTCAAATGTCAGTACAGCCATAGCTCACATCAACTGGCATAAACTATACGTGGGACGTCTCTCTTCATTTCGTTCCAGTAGATTTTGATGTTTAACGTTCTGTGTGACTGTCCACTCAACATGATAAGTAGTACTCCGGTTGTACCCAAGTAATAATAAGGCTGTTAGTACTACACCAGGTATAACACAACGGTGACATTACTTCACAAATTACAGCAGTCTTGCCAGAACTACATTAGTTACGATTACTTTGTCATACTACCTTGAAAAGAACACAACATCGGGGCCCTTATTCTCGAAATGTTCGTAGTTATAAGAATTCATAACTTTAATCGTAGCCAATGTTTTAGGAATGGTCTTAAGAAGTTCGTAGGGTTATGAACGTTTCGAGAATACCTAGCCAGGACTGCTGTTTCAGACGTAAGTGGTCTTTACTATGTATAGGTAGTCCATGTGATGACGTCACTTCCTTGTTAGTGACCTGTACAATGTGTTTCAGACGGTAGTCCATGTGATGACGTCACTTGCTTGTTAGTCACCTGTACGATGTGTTTCAGACGGTAGTCCATGTGATGACGTCACTTGCTTGTTAGTGACCTGTACGATGTGTTTCAGACGGTAGTCCATGTGATGACGTCACTTGCTTGTTAGTGACCTGTACAATGTGTATCAGACGGTAGTCCATGTGATGACGTCACTTGCTTGTTAGTGACCTGTACAATGTGTTTCAGACGGTAGTCCATGTGATGACGTCACTTGCTTGTTAGTGACCTGTACAATGTGTTTCAGACGGTAGTCCATGTGATGACGTCACTTGCTTGTTAGTGACCTGTACAATGTGTTTCAGACGGTAGTCCATGTGATGACGTCAATTCCTTGTTAGTGTTTTGTACAATGTGTTTCAGTCTGAAGTCCATGTGATGACGTCACTTGCTTGTTAGTGACCTGTACAATGTGTTTCAGACGGTAGTCCATGTGATGACGTCACTTGCTTGTTAGTGACCTGTACAATGTGTTTCAGACGGTAGTCCATGTGATGACGTCACTTGCTTGTTAGTGACCTGTACGATGTGTTTCAGACGGTAGTCCATGTGATGATGTCACTTGCTTGTCTGTGACCTGTACAATGTGTTTCAGACGGTAGTCCATGTGATGACGTCACCTGTCTGTACGGCGGCATCTGCAAGGCTGATGGAGACAGTGTCGCGTGCGCATGCTCCATCAACTGCACTGGTCGAGCCACGCGCCCTATCTGTGGCAGTGACGGTCAGTGGTACAGAAACAGGTGCGAGATGCAGCTACAGGCCTGTCAGAGTCAGGACAACATCACCCCAGACCACAACAAGAAGTGTAAGTGTAGGTCGGGAGTGGTGTACCGGTTGTGCCGTGGTTATGGTGGCTCTAAGGAAGGTTGTGCACGATTGTGTGAGAGAATTCAATTGTACGTCGCTTCACATTTACATCACGGCATCTCAGACTATTGTGGAAGGAAATCCTGAAGTGATGTAGCAGTCCTTACCAGCAGTGTAACTGGATGAAGTAGGATCACTGGCTTCTGTCCAAGCGTCGCATCTCTATATGTGCACAGCAAATTACGGCTCTGCAGAAGCCGGGGCCCCCGTGCCCCCAGAGTGTGAGAAGTATAGAAAGAGCTGACGAGAGTAGCCAGGATGAGGTCATCACCCAGTGCAATCTAAAGCCATATCATACTATGTAGGTCGTGTAATGCATTACGAAACGGTTTGCGGTTCGTAAGTAAATACTTTCTGAAATTATATTTTCCATTGCAGGCCAAGACTCCCAGGGTGGAGCCCCGCTATGCCCCGAGAAGAACGGTGCGTTGTTATGGATGAATCACCTACACCGTGGCATCGTAAACCAAACCAAACCAAACTATTCTGTTCATAAGACACATAATTATATTAACTGAAATATTCTTAAATAATATGGTATATAGTCTATTTATCATTGACACAGTACAAGAGACATTATTCCAAACGTTTATATACCACATTTATTTCAGCAAAAGCAATGTGGGGGAGTTGGTCGCCATGGGTAGCATCAGGTGATGTAGATATCCGCTTCCGGTCATGTGACATCGACGGGAATTCTTTGGGCAAGATGGTGTCGTGCCGGGGTCCTAGGGTCGAGGTTCGATCCTGCAACATCCGGGACCAGGGATCGTGCAGATCGTGGAATGGATCCACCAATGGGAAGTTCTCGTACAGATGTGATGGTGTTGACGTGCGAGACGTCAACAACGCAGGTGCGACCTCATGACAGAGATACCTACATGCTGGAGTACTTATACGCATGCTTAAAGCTTAGAATTACCCTAACAGTCGATATATGTGAATCGTCAGGGCTCTACCAGGCTTACATAAAGCCCCAGTATTCGAGGCGCTGCCAGTTCACACTTGCCCTCACTGGTTCCTACGCACCCTCACTGGTTCACACACACCCTCACTGGTTCACACACACCCTCACTGGTTCACACACACCCTTACTGGTTCACACACACCCTCACTGGTTCATACACACCCTCACTGGTTCACACACACCCTTACTGGTTCACACACACCCTCACTGGTTCACACACACCCTTACTGGTTCACACACACCCTCACTGGTTCACACACCCTCACTGGTTTACACACACCCTCACTGGTTCATACACACCCTCACTGGTTCACTGGTTCACACACCCCTCACTGGTTCACACACACCCTCACTGGTTCACACACCCTTACTGGTTCACACACACCCTCACTGGTTCACACACACCCTCACTGGTTCACACACACCCTCACTGGTTCACACACACCCTCACTGGTTCACACACACCCTCACTGGTTCACACACACTGGTTCACCACCCTCACTGGTTCACACACACCCTCACTGGTTCACACACACCCTTACTGGTTCACACACACCCTCACTGGTTCACACACACCCTCACTGGTTCACACACACCCTCACTGGTTCACACACACCCTCACTGGTTCACACACACCCTTACTGGTTCACACACACCCTCACTGGTTCATACACACCCTCACTGGTTCACACACATTCTCACTGGTTCACACACACCCTTACTGGTTCACACACACCCTCACTGGTTCACACACACCCTCATTGGTTCACGAACACCCTCACTGGTTCACACACACCCTCACTGGTTCACACACACCCTCACTGGTTCACACATTCCCTCGATGGTTCACACACACCCTCACTGGTTCACACACACCCTCACTGGTTCATACACACCCTCACTGGTTCACACACACCCTCACTGGTTCACACACACCCTTACTGGTTCATACACACCCTTACTGGTTCACACACACCCTCACTGGTTCACGAACACCCTCACTGGTTCACACACACCCTCACTGGTTCACACATTCCCTCGATGGTTCACACATTCCCTCGATGGTTCACACACACCCTCACTGGTTCACACACACCCTCACTGGTTCATACACACCCTCACTGGTTCATACACACCCTCGGGGCGGTGGGGTAGCCTAGTGGTTAAAACGTTCGCTCGTCACGCCGAAGACCCGGGTTCGATTCCCCACATGGGCATAATGTGTGAAGCCCATTTGTGGTGTCCCCCGCCGTGATATTGCTGGAATATTGCTAAAAACGGCGTAAAAAACATACTAACTCACTCACACACACCCACTGGTTCACACACTCGATCTGTACCACAACGTCAGCTGTGTTCTGTCTATCGTATCACCCATTGATCTTGAAGATCTTGTAACACAATGATCTTGTAACACCTACACTCGACACCGCGTCAGCTGAACTGTCCAATGAACCGACCAGCGGCGAGGCTTCAGTGTAAGTGAGCAACACACCAAAGTAAGCCTGTCTGATCTCGAAAACGAAATTAAACAAGCATTGTCACTAAGGTGACATAATCCCCCGCCGCAAATTATCAAATCAAACTTATAAAGTAATGAAAGTTTAAGTTAAATGTCAACAAAAACATGACCAGTCAACCTCTCTTGATATCTTGCTCTTTAGGTGTTCAAACACACACATATTTTCAAGAGTGACTTTGACCTTGACATGAATGTCATAGTGTATGAAATATACAAAAATAGTACGAAAGAAATTGCTTATTGAAAAACATTTAAGGGAAGTCTTGAAAGTCTGAAGAAAATCCAGTGAACCGTTCTTGAAATATCTTGCTGACAATTCAGGTTAACATGCTGAAATCGTCAAAGTGTCGCTGTGACCTTGAAACTTAAGTGAAGGTCACCAAAATCGACTGGGCCCTGCGCCTTCCCTGGATGAAGCTTGGTGTCAAATATGAAGAAACTCCAGTTAATGGTTCTTTAGGTATCTCGCTGACAAGCATAACCTGCGAGTTAATATGCTGAAATCTTCAAAGTGTCGCCATGACCTTGAAAATTATGTGAAGGTCACCAAAATCGACTGGGCCCTGCGCCTTCCCTAGATAAAGCTTCGTATTGAATATGAAGAAAATCCAGTTAACGGTTCTTGAGATAGCTTAACATGCAGGTAAAACGTGAAAGTCCCCTTGTGACCTTGAAATGAAGGTCAAGGTCACCAAACCTGACTTGGACCTTTCTTATACTGTGATGAACCTAGTTACCAAATATGAAAAGAATCTAGAGAACTGTTCTTAAGATATTCCAATTCGTATGTACGGACGTACGTACGTACGTACGGACGGACAGACGGAGCCTACTACTATATCCCCCGCTTCGCGCTAAACGCGCGGCGGGGGATAACAAAACCTTCCTGAAAGTAGAACGTTTAGAAGTTCCTATATATTGTTTCTGTGAGTTGTTATGTCTACTCTGAAAATGCTATGAATGTATGAATGTCCTAGACACAAACGTGATAACGACACATTACATATGCAGACAACATATTACACACCTCTCTTACAGACACATCTATAACAAAGATATGAGTAATAAGGTTAGTGAAGTAAGGACGGTAATAAGGTTAGTGAGTTGTGAAGCACCAAATTGGACCCGAACACCCGACACGCTCCTACAACGCATCGATGGGTCAGAGACTCCAATGAGAATGAATTTTTTGTCAGTTTTTTAATTGTATTATGTGACGCAACATCTGACAGGCAGGGTAGGTATGTTGGGGAGAGAATGTTATTGGTCACCACGCCGGTGTAATCTAGTTATAGCTGTTTCAAATGTGATGTTTATCAAGGAAATCTGTGTTGCTGGCACCGTCATTGACCACGAGAACAACACTTCATTTACAAATATAACACTCCGAATTGTAGTTTGAGACGTATTTTTCATATTCAGTTGAATTCATACTTGATTCGTTCATTGCAGAGATGACGTTTGGCCCAGCAGCGAATGGAGGTAAGACAACTACCACGACCAACACTACCACTAGCAATAATAATTCTAATAATAAACACCATCGTTGTCGTCATCGGGATCGCAGTTATATATTTGTCAGTACGTTTGTCCATATCTATTGGTTTGGCCTGAATGTTTATGCACAATGCGAAAAGAACCTCATTATTATCTTGCTGTACCTCCAGGAGACTTCTGCCGCTACTCCCTATACGACCTGAAGCGGAGGAAGATTGTGTTCTCCAGCTTCAACCTTTCCCAGGTCGTGTCCAAGGGCCATCTCAGACGATGGTGCTCCAAACAGGAAGCCTTCTTGGTATCCCACACTCCTCTGCATGTCTGCAAGCGCCACCTACAGGACATCTGCAAGTCATCACGGAAGTGCAAGGGCTCCAAGCTGGCCCGACGACAGAGGAACCTCGGCGACTACACCCACAGCTGCTGGAAGGACTTCATCCTCGGCAACAGAATACCCTCCGGTATATCTGACATCCACTCCACCTTCTCCTTCCTGTGTCAGAGATTCGCCCCCGACAGCAAGTGGGGGAAGGTATTCGGACACAAGACGGCATACTACGGTACTATCTACGACACCGCCCGCCGTATCCCCGTTGTGTCCTTGGCCAAGGTCACGCAGCTTGGTGAAGACACCTGGCCAAAGACCGACTTTATGATTGAGAGAGGTAGGTGACATGGAAGAGACGAGATCAGGACTGATGTGGAAAGAATTTTGAGGTGATGTTCTTCAGTGTTTTACAGACAAATGTGTTTGGTTCATCTATGTATTGGAATCTGAGTAGTCTCGTGTTTAGAGCGTTCAGTAGTCCAGTTATATTCTCAACTCCATGGATTCTTGGGTTCAATATTGTCCCTTTCTCATGTTGCACAACATAATATTGTGTGAATCTTGCAAAACGGCGTAATATCCTTATTACTGGCATTGTGTGAACGGGTAGAAGTGGGAGTGTGGTGGAGGGCTAACTGTGACAGTGAGTGTAGAGGAGGTTAACTGTGACCGTGTGAGTGTAGAGGAGGGTTAACTGTGACAGTGACTGTGAGTGTAGAGGAGGGTTAACTGTGACAGTGAGTGTGGTGGAGGGTTAACTGTGACTGAGTGTAGAGGAGGGTTAACTGTGACAGTGAGTGTAGAGGAGGGTTAACTGTGACAGTGAGTGTAGAGGAGGGTTAACTGTGACAGTGTGAGTGTAGAGGAGGGTTAACTGTGACAGTGAGTGTAGAGGGAGGGTTAACTGTGACAGTGTGAGTGTAGAGGAGGGTTAACTGTGACAGTGTGTGTGAGGGGTTAACTGTGAGGAGGGGAGGGTTAACTGTGACAGTGAGTGTAGAGGAGGGTTAACTGTGACAGTGTGAGTGTAGAGGAGGGTTAACTGTGACAGTGAGTGTAGAGGAGGGTTAACTGTGACAGTGAGTGTAGAGGAGGGTTAACTGTGACAGTGAGTGTAGAGGAGGTGACAGTTAACTGTGACAGTGAGTGTGAGAGTGTAGGGAGGGTTAACTGTGACAGTGAGTGTAGAGAGGGTTAACTGTGACAGTGAGTGTAAAGTAGGGTTAACTTTGACAGTGAGTGTAGAGAGGGGTTAACTGTGACAGTGAGTGTAAAGGAGGGTTAACATTGACAGTGTGAGTGTAGAGGAGTGTGGTGGAGGGTTAACTGTGACAGTGAGTGTAGAGGAGGGTTAACTGTGACAGTGAGTGTAGAGGGGGGTTAACTGTGACAGTGAGTGTGGTGGTGGGTTAACTGTGACAGTGAGTGTAGAGAGGGGGTTAACTGTGACAGTGAGTGTAAAGGAGGGTTAACTGTGACAGTGAGTGTAGAGGGGGTTAACTGTGACAGTGAGTGTAAAGTAGGGTTAACTTTGACAGTGAGTGTAGAGGTGGGTTAACTTTGACAGTGAGTGTAGAGGTGGGTTAACTGTGACAGTGAGTGTAGAGAGGGTTAACTGTGACAGTGAGTGTGGTGGAGGGTTAACTGTGAGAGTGAGTGTAGAGAGGGTAACTGTGACAGTGAGTGTAGTGGAGGGTTAACTGTGAGGACAGTGAGTGTAGTTAACTGTGACAGTGACAGTGAGTGTAGAGGAGGGTTAAGCTGTGACAGTGAGTGTAGAGGAGGGTTAACTGTGACAGTGAGGAGTGTAGAGGTGGGTTAACTGTGAGGAGTTAACTGATGACAGTGTAGAGGCGTGTGTGACAGTCAGTGTAGAGGAGGGTTAACTGTGACAGTGTAGAGGTTGGTTAACTGTGACAGTGAGTGTGGTGGAGGTTAATCCAGAACTGTGACGGTAGTGAGTGTGTAGAGGAGGGTTAACTGTGACAGTGAGTCTAAGGGAGGGTTAACATTGACAGTGTGAGTGTAGAGGAGGGTTTACTGTGACAGTGAGAGTGCAGAGGAGGGTTAACTGTGATAGTGAGTGTGGTGGAGGGTTAACTGTGAGAGAGTGTGAGTGTAGAGGAGGGTTAACTGTGACAGTGAGTGTGGTGGAGGGTTAACTGTGACAGTGTGAGTGCAGAGGAGGGTTAACTGTGATAGTGAGTGTGGTGGAGGGTTAACTGTGACAGTGTGAGTGTAGAGGAGGGTCAACTGTGACAGTGAGTGTGATAGAGGGTTAACTGTGACAGTGAGTGTGGTGGAGGGTTAACTGTGACAGTGAGTGTAGAGGAGGGTCAACTGTGACAGTGAGTGTAGAGGAGGGTTAACTGTGACAGTGTGAGTGTGTGTAGAGGAGGGTTAACTGTGACAGTGAGTGTGAAGGAGGGTTAACTGTGACAGTGAGTGTGTAGAGGAGGGTTAACTGTGACAGTGAGTGTAGAGGAGGGTTAACTGTGACAGTGTGAGTGTAGAGGAGGGTTAACTGTGACAGTGTGAGTGTAGAGGAGGGTTAACTGTGACAGTGAGTGTGTGTGGAGGGTTAACTGTGACAGTGAGTGTGGTGGAGGGTTAACTGTGACAGTGAGTGTAGAGGGTTAACTGTGACAGTGAGTGTGGTGAAGGGTTAACTGTGACAGTGAGTGTAGAGGGGGGTTAACTGTGACAGTGAGTGTGAGTGTAGGGGTTAACTTAACTGTGACAGTGAGTGTAGAGGGGAGGTTAACTGTGACAGTGAGTATAGAGGAGGGTTAACTGTGACAGTGAGTGTGTGGAGGGTTAACTGTGACAGTGTGACTGTGACACTGTGAGTGAGTGTAGAGGAGGGTTAACTGTGACAGTGAGTGTGGTGGAGGGTTAACTGTGATAGTGTGAGTGTAGAAACTGTGACGGTTAACTAGAGGGGTTAACTGACAGTGAGTGTAAAGGTAGGTTAACTGTGACAGTGAGTGTAGAGGGGGTTAACTGTGACAGTCAGGGTTAACTGTGACAGTATGAGTGTAGAGGTGAAGTGGAGGGTTAACTGTGACAGTGAGTGTGGTGGAGGGTTAACTGTGACAGTGAGTGTAGAGGAGGGTTAACTGTGACAGTGAGTGTAGAGGAGGGTTAACTGTGACAGTGTGAGTGTAGAGGAGGGTTAACTGTGACAGTGAGTGTAGAGGAGGGTTAACTGTGAGGAGTGGTTAGAGGAGGTGTAAAAGTAGGGTTAACGACGGTATGAGGTGTTGGAGGGTTAACTGTGAGTGTGAGTGTAGAGGAGGTTAACTGTGATAGTGAGTGTGGTGGAGGATTAACTGTGACAGTGTGAGTGTAGAGGAGGGTGAACTGTGATGTGGTGGAGGGTTAACTGTGAGGTGAGGTGTGGTGGAGGGTTAACTGTGAGAGTGTGAGTCTAGAGAGGAGGGTCAACTGTGACAGTGAGTGTGGAGGGTTAACTGAGTGAGTGTAAGGGAGGGTTAACTGTGACAGTGTGAGTGCTAGAGGAGGGTTAACTGTGACAGGAAGGGTGTAGAGTGTTAACTGTGAGGGTTAACTTTGACAGTGTGAGTGTAGAGGTGGGTTAACTGTGACAGTGAGTGTGGTGGAGGGTTAACTGTGACAGTGAGTGTAGAGGAGGGTCAACTGTGATAGTGAGTGTGGTGGAGGGTTAACTGTGACAGTGTGAGTGTAGAGGAGGGTCAACTGTGACAGTGAATGTGGTGGAGGGTCAACTGTGACAGTGAGTGTGATGGAGGGTTAACTTTGATAGTGAGTGTAGAGGGGGGTTAACTGTGATAGTGAGTGTAGAGGAGGGTTAACTTTGACAGTGTGACTGTAGAGGAGGGTTAACTGTGACAGTGTGAGTGTAGAGGAGGGTTAACTGTGATAGTGAGTGTGGTGGAGGGTTAACTGTGACGGTGAGTGTAGAGGAGGGTTAACTGTGACAGTGAGTGTAGAGGAGGGTTAACTGTGACAGTGTGTGTAGAGGGGGTTAACTGTGACAGTGAGTGTAGAGGAGGGTTAACTGTGACAGTGAGTGTACAGGAGGGTTAACTGTGACAGTATGAGTGTAGAGGAGGGTTAACTGTGACTGTGTGAGTGTCGAGGAGGGTTAACTGTGACTGTGTGAGGGTAACTTTGAGTGTCGAACATTGAATATTTCAAGAATGACAGCCGTGAGGTGAATATTATACATTGGGGAAACAATATGTATTACGATCGTTAAAGTCTTGTAATGAAACACCTTTGATTTCTAACGTATGGAATTTTTCAATACAGAGAAATATGGCTCTGGCCCTGTGTTAATTTGGTTCGATAATACAAGAATCATTGTCTGAGACAAGGAGACTAAGAGCAACGACCGTCGATGACATCTGGTTAAGCTGTAAAACCGGCGTGATTGGTACAAACTAGCACATGTACTTGTGTCCTAGTTTACACAGTTTGTACAGACAAACATGCCCTCACGCTGATAACGTGATTTAAATTAATCAAACAGGAAACAAATATCAATCAAAATCTACAATAAATGTCAATTGGAAGCTGGCGTATATTAAATCTGTCTACAAATTGCCAATTATTAAATGCCCGATGTGTCCCTGACAGACTGAAATGCTGAACGTCTTGTGAGGTAGCCATGTTGTCTAGTATGTGTCCGAGGTATGTCTCCCGTGTACTGTATGTCTACCACACTATTCTATAACACCATCCCATAATGTCATTATGGAATAACGCCCAGCCCTGTGTCTGAGGTGTTAGTAGCTCCTGACCGAGGTGTCATTTCATGCCAGTATCTGCCCTCCTCTTCTCCACCGGAGTTGTATCAACCACATTATACCTTAGGACATTCGCAGATTTATATGTATTTGTTCTCTGATTGTTTGACCAAGGATGGAATGGAATGGTGTCAAAGATGTCTCGTTAAGTTGATTTAATCCTGAGACACGAATTTTCTACATTGCTAAAAATTATGAAAGCTTCAGTTGTAGTGGTTACAAGAATACGATTGTTTCAATTCCTGAGGAACACGGTTGATTTAGTTCCCATGGCAGCAAGACCGTGATTATGTCAGTTACCATGGCAACACAACATGATTGTTTAACATGATCGAACTAAATTCGAAATATCATTTAGACAATGCTAATTGCCGGTGGTGACTGAGCAAGTATATATATAAATATTTTGGCTTGTAGTATTAGAAAAATCTCGAGAAGTCCGTGGCCAGATTAGAAGAAAACCACATATTTTCTGGCATATTGAATCCGGTCTTCAGTGGACACTCGCTACAATCACAACGTACATTTGTGTGAATAGGTATTTATGGCTGCAATTGTTGTCTTTGTTGTCCACGGCGCTGCGAATGCCCTGTAATCAAGCCCTGGTTTGTCCCTGATTGTTGAAGGCAGTGTCAGCAGAGAGGCTGAAGGCAAAGCTTCTGCCTGTCTCTGACTGTTGTGCAGACAATTGCTCACATCTACCCACCTCGACAGTCCACGCCACGTTACTCAATCACTGCCAGTGCAAATTTATTTCTGCTATCGGCCAGTCTGGGCTGTCCAATTACTGGACAATCACATCCAGGTTCCCCGTCCCAAGAGCTACGCTCCTAGATATAAACCGTTATGTCTGTCCGGATGCGGACAGTCTACTTGGGTAAAGTGATGAATTGTGAGAGGAACTGCAAAATGATGACAATTGGATCGTGGTAGATCACCCAATTGATAATAGATGGCGCCTGAAGATGCCATCCGACAGCTGAGAGATGGGGAGACAGTGGGCTGGCAGTCTCGGGCATAAGACTCTGAAAACTGGACACAGTGGAATACAGAGAATATATATTACAGCGTTATTGAAACCTTGCCTTGTAAACTTGCAGATTTGGGAGAACGAGAAACTTACCAATATCCATGTGAATTATTGATTAGACGCAGTCTTAAATTGGCATCAGTAAAACCCCCTGTCAGTAAATGTGCGTGTGTGTGTATGAGTGTTGGGGAGGGGGTGCGTGCTACAGTGTGTGTGTGTGTGTGTGCGTGCGTGAGTGCGTGCGTGTGTGTTTAACTGTATCTCTCTTCGTGAATTGGTTAAGAGCTCAAGGTAATCCAACATTTCGTATTTAGGTCCTATTAGTTTCGTATTTAGTACTCATACCATAATCATGTTTCTTTGTCAGCATATCACAGTTTCACACATCTTCCTAAGATAATACTTAAAACAGTGTATTGTAAATGACGTATATTGTTCATGCCCACCTAGATGATATGTTGGTGTCTGTTCCAGGTCTAATTGATGAGCCAATGACGTTCAGCTGGCTGCTCAAGAGGGAGCGCGGTTTGGCCACGATGTCAGACTCCCTGAAATGTAACACGGACTGGGACTGTGACCTCGGCATGAAACAGGCGCTCCCCGTCGACTACGACATGTCCGGTTACCGAATCGCGCATCTTATGTGGCCAGAGCTCGTCGGAGCTGACGTAGACGCCAAACTTTCGACCTTCACCTTGACCAACGCTGCTCCAATGCATCCATCACTGTACTCGGCCTGGCGCCATGCTGTCGCGGAGATAAGGTCTTACGCCATCAACCACTGCAAGATTCCCGTCGACGTGGACCCGACGACAGGCCCGTCGCGACCAGAGATGTATATAGCTTCCGGCGCTGTGCCTTCCAAGGACCCTGAGATCACTATTGGCAATGATGTCCACGTACCCGATCTTTTCTGGTCAGCAGTCTGCTGTTTCAGGGACGACAAAGTCCAGTCTTTCTCCGTTTACGCCCGCAACATCGGCGACGACCCCGTCATTGTGGCTCCGGTGCTGCGACTGGAGTCCATCCTTCAAGACATGTACAAGGTCAGGAAGCGGGACGTCAACCTGCGTATCTTCCCTGCAGGGGAGGGGTCGTGTGCAGAGCTCAGGAATGACGTGTCACGGTCTATCAACTTGTAGATGTGACGGACTATTTGTTAAAATCAAACTTATCATCGGTCAAATTATGGATCATTAAGATGTTATACATCTTCCGGTTTAGAAGTAGCCCGAAGATCATATACAGTACTCTTTGTGTTGGATGTAAACCTTGTGAAACACGAGGAACAGATGCGGATGTTGATGTTGTGAAGGAATGTTCATCTGAAGAATATAACTGCTTGCCACAAGATAACCGATTAGTTTACTCATTAGGAATCGTATCATGGGAATTATACCGCCGCTTCAGTCGGCTGCTGCGTTGTGCTGATGATGAGGAATCATCTGAATGAATTTGTGAGGCACTGGACTGGTCCTCCGTGCAGCGACCAGTGCCCCTGTAGTCGTAGCTTTTGATGTCGTAATCGTAATCATATGTCATGTGACCCACTGGTCAATCCGGGAGTAGCAGAGGAGACAGAATACCGTGTGGGTTGTCTCCCTTGTGGTGGATTGCGGTAATTCACAATGGATGTCTCTCTTTTACGTTCCAATGTTTCTGTGATCGGCTTTAGTCCATGGATGTTAGATGCTGAATATTTGTGTCTTGATATTACCCGGCAATCCCAGTACGTGACCCATCAACCAGACAGGTGGCACCGCGCTGACGTGGCGTGTCTCGTTTCTTGACCAGTTGCCGCCATGTCACAGAGACAGGTAACGCCAAGGCGTACAACCGGCGCAGTTATTACGTCATAGTAGTGATCACGTGATGATGGTGTCACGCAACCTTGGTGTTAAAGACATAGTGACAATCACCCACAAAGCTCTTGGCAAGGTCTGTCAGCGACAGAATCTATCACTCACAAAACAAGAGACTGAATCTGTCAAGGCAAGATACAGGGTCCATGTACAATTATTTACTTATTCATATCAGTTGTATTGGAAGTCTGGTTCGTTGATACATATTTGACAGCTTCATATACATATATATCCCCATCGTTCTGTATATTGATATGTGTTACATGCTGCTAGTCCTCTCTCTGTGTTAAGTGTGTCATATGTACAGATATCAGTAGACTTGTGTACTCTCCTCATTCCAACGAGACAACTCACCGTCATTAAATGAAATTGATATTTTTAAATTTAGCGCTCAGCACGTCAAGGATTTATTTGTTGCGTGTTTGCATTGCACTATTTCTACAGCTACGTGACTGATGGTGGTTTCAGAAAGGATGCCAGGTTGCCAGAAGGATCTAGGCGCGAATGTCCGAAGGATCTAGGCGCGAATGTCCGAAGGATCTAGGTGACGTCAGAAAGATCTAGTCATGTCGGAGTGATCTCGTCCATCTCAGAGAATACTAAGCGCTGTTAGGATGATTTGATGAAAGGCTAACTATACGTGATGTGGAGTCTGGGGTGTTTCAAGGTGCGGGGAGTCATTGGAAGTCAGGAAGACCAGCGTTTTATGTGAATCTAGGGATGTTTACAGATTTTGGGGGCGTCTGAAGGAACTGGGTATGAAATCCAGGCGCGTTTGAATATTCAAGGAAGGGTTTAGGACTGGCCTACTGGTTGTCGGGTCTAGGGGGTGTCTGGAGGATATGGGGGTTGTTGGGACGGAATTGGAACCGTCGGGTTGGTCAAGTCTGATGTGACAAGGGCCTGAGAGATGTAAAACGTACAGTGATGGTGAAAGTACAAGTCGAGGATGTCTTGAGGCAGTAGATATAACCAAAAGCTGTAAGCATACAAACGCATCGTTGAACACGTTTTATATCCAGAAACTTTCGGTTTTGTGCAGTTTTAGTGAGCTACAGAGCACAAGTTCTGCTACCATCGCATACAAATTAATCCAATGTTTCCTGATCAAAACATGATACTGCACCGTCAAAATAACTGCCTGTCAGTCTACTTGCGAGGTTGGAGTGTATGCGTGCGCAGTGCGAGAGAGCGCCATCTGCATGTAGATCTGTAGCGCGTACATACACCTGCACTGTTGACTATTGTACTAGTAGAGATTGACATACGACTTCTAGAAGTAGACACTAGTTTGTTTTATACCAAGGTAGTTCCCCTCGTGTTTCTATTTAGATCTGTGATACAACAAACATTGGTTATTATGTTACAAAATGCACACTGTTGCTTATTATTCCTATTGTTGCAATAAAGTATATTTCTTTTCAGCTGGTAGTCTGGGTTGTCTCTGGTTGCCTCCGCTAAATGAAGTACACTTCCCCATTACATAAATATTGTTTGTACTGAAGGTGTGACCTTTAGGGCTCTGTTCTTGTACTGAAGGTTTGACCTTCAGGGCTCTGTTCTTGTACTGAAGGTTTGACCTTCAGGGCTCTGTTCTTGTACTGAAGGTTTGGCCTTCAGGGCTCTGTTCTTGTACTGAAGGTTTGGCCTTCAGGGCTCTGTTCTTGTACTGAAGGTTTGGCCTTCAGGGCTCTGTTCTTGTCCTGAAGGTTTGACCTTCAGGGCTCTGTTCCTGTACTGAAGGTTTGAGCTTCAGGGCTCTGTTCTTGTACTGAAGGTTTGACCTTCAGGGCTCTGTTCTTGTACTGAAGGTTTGACCTTCAGGGCTCTGTTCTTGTACTGAAGGTGCGACCTTCAGGGCTCTGTTCTTGTACTGAAGGTGCGACTTGCAGGGCTCCATTCTTGTATGACATTGTATCATTAACACCATCCCTCTGAAATTTGTGGCTAAGACATATAATGGCCTGTAAAAACCCTGATACCACAATCTGCGAGTATTACAGGCCATTTCATGAGACCATGACATCATACTAACTGAAAATAGTGTCAAACAAAATCAGTACTTGGGAGGCTACGATTTCAAATTTTTCAGCTGCCTCCTCCTGGACTATTTAGGAAAGGAGCAATCATATGACTGGGCCCGATTTTTTAGTGCTCCCCTTATTCAGATCTGCTTTTCTGTGCACCTGAATCGGGGTTTCTGCTGGAATTGCGGTATATAGTAGTATATGAATTGATTTTCCAAGAAGTTGAACTTCAACTGCAGGAATATCGAAGATACCTAATACCTAATTCCCTTGCGCCAGGTAGAAATAAAAGAGACAAGTGAAAACTTGTTTCACACTGATATCTATACCTTTAGATTTAGAATATCAAATACTTACAAGACTGTATGACACAAGTGATGGGTTGAACATTCAAATTGTCAACCTCCTCTCCATGCCGAGCAATCTTCAATCAGCTTTAGCCATTTGCGTCAACAAGGAAAACACTTCTTTGACTTGATCCATATATTTCTGTGCTTCTTCACATCTGTTATCACTATTTCTTTGTGATCTATAAGCACATTCGTATTAATTAATCTCTTCCGTGGGATAGTCAAGGTTGGTTATTCTTTGGAGTTGCCTTTCATATATTGCAATAAATATTTAGAACGTTTAACATGTTTGTAATGAAGATATGAGCTTCAAGGCTCCACGTCTGTTATGAAGGTTCATGACCTTCATGGCTCCACGTCTGTAATGAAGGTGTGACCTTCAGGGCTCCACGTCTGTAATGAAGGTGTGACCTTCAGGCTCCACGTCTGTTATGAAGGTGTGACCTTCAGGGCTCCACGTCTGTAATGAAGGTGTGACCTTCCGGCTCCACGTCTGTTATGGTGTGACCTTCAGGGCTCCACATCTGTAATGAAGGTGTGACCTTCACTGCTCCACGTCTGTAATGAAGGTGCGATCTTTAGGGCTCCACACATGTTATGAAGGTGTGACCTCTAGGGCTCCACATATGTAATGAAGATGTGCCCTTTAGGGCTCCACATCTGTAATGAAGGTGTGACCTTCACTGCTCCACGTCTGTAATGAAGGTGCGATCTTTAGGGCTCCATATCTGTAATGAAGGTGTGACCTTTAGGGCTCCATGTATGTAATGAAGGTGTGACCCTCAGGGCTCTACGTATGTAATGAAGGTGTGACCTTCAGGGCTCAACGTCTGTTATGAAAGTGTGACCTTCCGGCTCCACGTCTGTAATGAAGGTGTGACCTTCAGGGCTCCACGTCTGTAATGAAGGTGTGACCTTCCGGCTCCACGTCTGTTATGAAGGTGTGACCTTTAGGGCTCCACATCTGTAATGAAGGTGTGACCGACCTTCAGGGCTCCACGTATGTAATGAAGGTGTGACCTTCAGGGCTCCACGTCTGTTATGAAGGTGTGACCTTCCGGCTCCACGTCTGTAATGAAGGTGTGACCTTCCGGCTCCATGTCTGTTATGAAGGTGTGACCTTTAGGGCTCCACGTATGTAATGAAGGTGTGACCTTCAGGGCTCCACATCTGTTATGAAGGTGTGACCTTTAGGGCTCCACGTATGTAATGAAGGTGTGACCTTCAGGGCTCCACGTCTGTTATGAAGGTGTGACCTTCCGGCTCCACGTCTGTAATGAAGGTGTGACCTTCCGGCTCCATGTCTGTTATGAAGGTGTGACCTTCACTGCTCCACATCTGTAATGAAGGTGTGACCTTCAGGGCTCCATGTATGTAATGAAGGTGTGACCTTCAGGGCTCCACGTATGTAATGAAGGTGTGACCTTCAGGGCTCCACGTCTGTAATGAAGGTGTGACCTTTACTGCTCCACATCTGTAATGAAGGTGTGACCTTCAGGGCTCCACGTCTGTAATGAAGGTGTGACCTTCCGGCTCCACGTCTGTTATGAAGGTGTGACCTTCAGGGCTCCACATCTGTAATGAAGGTGTGACCTTCACTGCTCCACATATGTAATGAAGGTGTGATCTCCCGGCTCCACATCTGTAATGAAGGTGTGACCTTCACTGCTCCACATATGTAATGAAGGTGTGACCTTCCGGCTCCACGTCTGTTATGAAGGTGTGACCTTCAGGGCTCCACATCTGTAATGAAGGTGTGACCTTCACTGCTCCACATATGTAATGAAGGTGTGACCTTCAGGGCTCCACGTCTGTAATGAAGGTGTGACCTTCAGGGCTCCACGTATGTAATGAAGGTGTGACCTTCAGGGCTCCACGTCTGTAATGAAGGTGTGACCTTCAGGGCTCCACGTATGTAATGAAGGTGTGACCTTCAGGGCTCCACGTATGTAATGAAGGTGTGACCTTTAGGGCTCCACATATGTAATGAAGGTGTGACCTTTAGGGCTCCACGTATGTAATGAAGGTGTGACCTTTAGGGCTCCACGTATGTAATGAAGGTGTGACCTTCAGGGCTCCACGTATGTAATGAAGGTGTGACCTTCAGGGCTCCACATATGTAATGAAGGTTTGACCTTCAGGGCTCCACATATGTAATGAAGGTGTGACCTTCAGGGCTTCACGTATGTAATGAAGGTGTGACCTTCATGGCTCCACATTTGTTATGAATGTGCCACATTCATGGTTCCATGTTCTTAATGAAGATGAAGTTAACACCACCATTACAAACATGGAGGTGTGACTAAAGGTGTGACTTGTCTAACGAAGGATATATCTGCTTTCAAAGCTTGATGAAGGTGTGTCACTTGCTTTGTATTCAACGTATGGCAGAAGCAACAAGGCGTAAAGACTTTCCAACTGTGTTTATTGAAATCCTGTCCAACATTGTCATACATCACTTTCAACCTGACCACAAACATTCAAACACTCCACTGCCATCCAGCTGACAGTTATTTTAAATAAAAAACAAACAGAACAAGACACATGCAATCACAAGTACAGTCTTTGCACAGCTGAAGTCTAAGACCCTGATGGACACTTGTCATTCATGTTTATGTTGTAATTTAGCCATGTTTTGAGACAGAGTGAGGAGTTGTGACATTAGTTTATCCGGATATCCATTGTCCTCTTCTGTAAAAGGCATGAGTTCTCATGGAAAATCCTGACATACAGCAGCCGAAGGATCCAGGTAGATTCCCTACTACTTACTGACCACCTTACAAAACACCGATAAAACAATCAACAGTCATGAGAATCCAACTGATAAGATGCGCCCTGCTACACTGGGACCAGTGGTTTACATAAACAGGCATAAAATCAGAGCAACAGGATGGCAAAATAACATTACATACATCTTCTTCTGTCAAAATTAATATCGCCCATCTACTTCATGCACACTGTTACACATTGGTATTGTCACTAAGGTGAACAACACCTCTTCCATTCTGTGCTGACAGTCAGCTGACAATTTCCTTCATCTTCTCCACAAACTTGTAGTAGTTGTACCTGATGTCAAAGTCCATGTCGTACCAGTAGTTGACTGAAACAGTCATGTGAATCATAAACCCACTGGACTAAAAGTTGACACATAAGCTATACAAGCTATAGAGATGACACCTACAGTGTATACAAATTAGCCTATTGGATATAGAGATGACACCTACAGTGTATACAAATTAGCCTATTGGATATAGAGATGACACCTACAGTGTATACAAATTAGCCTATTGGATATAGAGATGACACCTACAGTGTATACAAATTAGCCTATTGTGTATAGAAATTAGCCTATTGGATATAGAGATGACACCTACAGTGTATACAAATTAGCCTATTGGATATAGAGATGACACCTACAGTGTATACAAATTAGCCTATTGGATATAGAGATGACACCTACAGTGTATACAAATTAGCCTATTGGATATAGAGATGACACCTACAGTGTATACAAATTAGCCTATTGGATATAGAGATGACACCTACAGTGTATACAAATATAGCCTATTGGATATAGAGATGAGACCTACAGTGTATACAAATTAGCCTATCGGATATAGAGATGAGACCTACAGTGTATACAAATTAGCCTATTGGATATAGAGATGACACCTACAGTGTATACAAATTAGCCTATTGGATATAGAGATGACACTACAGTGTATACAACATATAGTGACACCTACAGTGTATAGAAATTAGCCTATTGGATATAGAGATGACACCTACAGTGTATAGAAATTCTACAGTGTATAGAAATTAGCCTATTGGATATAGAGATGACACCTACAGTGTATAGAAATTAGCCTATTGGATATAGAGATGACACCTTCAGGTTACAATGTGACACCTATACTACTCACACTTTGTTAAGGAGCACACAAATTCACAACTTTACTTAAATGTAGATTTATAATTTGAAATTGTATCCATTTAAAACTGGATAAATAATAATATGGTAACCCCTCTTTAGGCAAACAGTCACTTTACTCTAACATCATGCACTTGATACATGAGTAACCATCAAAACCATTTTCATGGCACCAATCAACCATTTTGCAAATCATGGAACGAATCATTGACAAGTACACAACACCTGTCAATAGCAGGTATGAGATCCACAAATGAAATGACATACTGAAACCTAGTATCCATGCTTACAATAAGCTTAGATATTTAAACCAAATTTGACCCCACATTATAGTTTTCTGTTGAATCCAAGATTTGATCCTTATCAAAGTGTGAATAGTATATTAGGAAAAACATGTGCCAGATACTGCTTATACATGTTACTGCTGCCAAATTTACATTTGACATTTACTATTTATACATGAAACACCTGCCAGCTATACATGTGACACCTACCAGCTATACATGTGACACCTACCGGCTATACAGGTGACACCTACCAGCTATACATGAAACACCTGCCAGCTATACATGTGACACCTGCAAGCTATACATGTGACACCTACCAGCTATACATGTAACACCTACCGGCTATACAGGTGACACCTACCAGCTATACATGTAACACCTACCGGCTATACAGGTGACACCTACCAGCTATACATGTGACACCTACCGGCTATACATGTGACACCTACTGGCTATACATGTGACACCTGCCAGCTATACATGTGACACCTACCAGCTATACATGTGACACCTACCAGCTATACATGAAACACCTGCCAGCTATACATGTGACACCTACCGGCTATACATGTGACACCTACCGGCTATACAGGTGACACCTACCAGCTATACATGTGACACCTGCCAGCTATACATGTGACACCTACCAGCTATACATGTGACACCTACCAACTATACATGAAACACCTGCCAGCTATACATGTGACACCTACCGGCTATACAGGTGACACCTACCAGCTATACATGAAACACCTGCCAGCTATACATGTGACACCTACCGGCTATACATGTGACACCTACCGGCTATACATGTGACACCTGCCAGCTATACATGAAACACCTGCAAGCTATACATGTGACACCTACCGCTATACATGTGACACCTACCGCTATACATGAGACACCTGCCAGCTATACATGAAACACCTGCAAGCTATACATGTGACACCTACCAGCTATACATGTGACACCTACCGCTATACATGACACATGCCAGCTATACATGAAACACCTGCAAGCTATACATGTGACACCTCCACCGGCTATACATGTGACACCTGCCAGCTATACATGTGACACCTACCAGCTATACATGAAACACCTGCAAGCTAAACATGTGACACCTACCGGCTATAAATGTGACACCTGCCAGCTATACATGAAACACCTGCAAGCTATTCATGTGACACCTACCGGCTATACATGTGACATCTGCCAGCTATACATGTGACACCTGCAAGCTATACATGAAACACCTGCAAGCTATTCATGTGACACCTACCGGCTATACATGTGACACCTACCGGCTATAAATGTGACACCTGCCAGCTATACATGAAACACCTGCAAGCTATACATGTGACACCTGCCAGCTATACATGTGGCACCTGCCAGCTGTACATGTGACACCTACCAGCTATACATGTGACACCTACCGGCTATACATGTGACACCTACCAGCTATACATGTGGCACCTACCAGCTATACATGTGACACCTGCAAGCTATACATGAAACACCTGCAAGCTATACATGTGACACCTACCGGCTATACATGTGACACCTACCGGCTATAAATGTGACACCTGCCAGCTATCCATGAAACACCTACCGGCTATACATGTGACACCTGCCTGCTATACATGTGGCACCTGCCAGCTATACATGTGACACCTACCAGCTATACATGAAACACCTGCAAGCTATACATGTGACACCTACCGGCTATACATGTGACACCTGCCAGCGATACAGATGACACCTACCGGCAATACATCTGACACTTGACAGTGATACAGATGACACCTACCGGCTATACATGTGACACTTGACAGCGATACAGATGACACCTACCGGCAATACATCTGACACTTGACAGTGATACAGATGACACCTACCGGCTATACATGTGACACCTACTGGCTATACATGTGACACCTGCCAGCTATACATGTGACACCTACCAGCTATACATGTGACACCTACCAGCTATACATGAAACACCTGCCAGCTATACATGTGACACCTACCGGCTATACATGTGACACCTACCGGCTATACATGTGACACCTACCAGCTATACATGTGACACCTGCCAGCTATACATGTGACACCTACCAGCTATACATGTGACACCTACCAACTATACATGAAACACCTGCCAGCTATACATGTGACACCTACCGGCTATACAGGTGACACCTACCAGCTATACATGAAACACCTGCCAGCTATACATGTGACACCTACCGGCTATACATGTGACACCTACCGGATATAAATGTGACACCTGCCAGCTATACATGAAACACCTGCAAGCTATACATGTGACACCTACCGGCTATACATGTGACACCTACCGGCTATACATGAGACACCTGCCAGCTATACATGAAACACCTGCAAGCTATACATGTGACACCTACCAGCTATACATGTGACACCTACAGGCTATACATGTGACACCTGCCAGCTATACATGAAACACCTGCAAGCTATACATGTGACACCTACCGGCTATACATGTGACACCTGCCAGCTATACATGTGACACCTACCAGCTATACATGAAACACCTGCAAGCTATACATGTGACACCTACCGGCTATAAATGTGACACCTGCCAGCTATACATGAAACACCTGCAAGCTATACATGTGACACCTACCGGCTATACATGTGACATCTGCCAGCTATACATGTGACACCTGCAAGCTATACATGAAACACCTGCAAGCTATTCATGTGACACCTACCGGCTATACATGTGACACCTACCGGCTATAAATGTGACACCTGCCAGCTATACATGAAACACCTGCAAGCTATACATGAAACACCTGCAAGCTATACATGTGACACCTACCGGCTATACATGTGACACCTGCCAGCGATACAGATGACACCTACCGGCAATACATCTGACACTTGACAGTGATACAGATGACACCTACCGGCTATACATGTGACACTTGACAGCGATACAGATGACACCTACCGGCTATACATGTGACACTTGACAGCGATACAGATGACACCTACCGGCTATACATGTGACACTGGACAGTGATATAGGTCACACCTACCGGCTATACATGTGACACTTGACAGTGATACATGTGACACCTACCACCTATACATGTGACACTTGACAGTGATATAGGTCACACCTACCGGCTATACATGTGACACTTGACAGTGATACATGTGACACCTACCACCTATACATGTGACACTTGACAGTGATATAGGTCACACCTACCGGCTATACATGTGACACTTGACAGTGATACATGTGACACCTACCACCTATACATGTGACACTTGACAGTGATACAGGTCACACCTACCGGCTATACATGTGACACTTGACAGTGATACAGATGACACCTACCGGCTATACATGTGACACTTGACAGTGATACAGATGACACCTACCGGCTATACATGTGACACTTGACAGTGATACAGATGACACCTACCGGCTATACATGCATGAGACTGCTGAACATGATGAAACCAGAGCGACGGCAGGTACAGCGTCTCCCCTGCTTCCACTACCACCTCAAGGGGATGTGCAGACGCATACTGAGGATACTTCTTCAAGTCTGGCTTCAGCGGGTCAATCGGGATCCAGGGAACCTGAATACAAGGGACATAACTCTAAACTGTGGATTCACGGAATCCAAACCATTTTACTTAAAACCGACTTGCCCAGATAAACAATATTCAGCTATATTACCAGCTGACAATGGTTCTCTATTACCTAGATAAACAATATTCAGCTATATTACCAGTTGACAATGGTTCTCTGTTACCTAGATAAACAATATTCAGCTATATTACCAGCTGACAATGGTTCTCTATTACCTAGATAAACAATATTCAGCTATATTACCAGTTGACAATGGTTCTCTGTTACCTAGATAAACAATATTCAGCTATATTACCAGCTGACAATGGTACTCTGTTACCTAGATAAACAATATTCAGCTATATTACCAGCTGACAATGGTTCTCTATTACCTAGATAAACAATATTCAGCTATATTACCAGCTGACAATGGTTCTCTGTTACCTAGATAAACAATATTCAGCTATATTACCAGCTGACAATGGTTCTCTATTACCTAGATAAACAATATTCAGCTATATTACCAGTTGACAATGGTTCTCTGTTACCTAGATAAACAATATTCAGCTATATTACCAGCTGACAATGGTTCTCTATTACCTAGATAAACAATATTCAGCTATATTACCAGTTGACAATGGTTCTCTGTTACCTAGATAAACAATATTCAGCTATATTACCAGCTGACAATGGTTCTCTATTACCTAGATAAACAATATTCAGCTATATTACCAGCTGACAATGGTTCTCTATTACCTAGATAAACAATATTCAGCTATATTACCAGTTGACAATGGTTCTCTGTTACCTAGATAAACAATATTCCACTTTTATCTAGATATATAATATTTGATCAGGAGTGTTTCTGGTGACATAGAAGGTTTCAAAGTAATGGCGTCTGCCAAACACTCCCTACTTTATGGAAAACAAGTATATAAGAAAGAAACGTTCACATGACAATCTGACTTTCTGACACAGGTCAGTTACACATTTCAGTTTGGATAGAGAAGAATGTGAATTGAGCTAGTCTTACACAAGAGCAGAGCTTGCATACAATTGCCATTAGAGGGTTTCAGTGGAATACGATGTTGAGGGTGACATCGGTTTGCGCAATAGCAGAATGTAAGCCTTCACCGGACAAAACCATATGAATATTCAGAGTATTTACTGGTCCAAACTAACTTATGATTTAATGTGCATTCATTGAGGACTCCACGTCACCCACCTGCCCTGCCTCCTCGTCGTCCACAATATGGAAATTGCCGTCATCGTCTGTTGTATAGGCAGCAGCCTGGTATTCTCCTGGGAGATCACAAACAGATGATCAGTGACACACAGGTGACAAATGCCCCCTCACCTTACAGGTATACTATCACAGGTAGATCAATATCAAGTCATATCCCCTCACCTTACAGGTATACTATCACAGGTAGATCAATATCAAGTCACATCCCCTCACCTTACAGGTATACTATCACAGGTAGATCAATATCAAGTCATATGCCCTCACCTTACAGGTATACTATCACAGGTAGATCAATATCAAGTCATATCCCCTCACCTTACAGGTATACTATCACAGGTAGATCAATATCAAGTCACATCCCTCACCTTACAGGTATACTATCACAGGTAGATCAATATCAAGTCATATCCCCTCACCTTACAGGTATACTATCACAGGTAGATCAATATCAAGTCATATCCCCTCACCTTACAGGTATTCTATCACAGGTAGATCAATATCAAGTCATATCCCCTCACCTTACAGGTATACTATCACAGGTAGATCAATATCAAGTCATATCCCCTCACCTTACAGGTATACTATCACAGGTAGATCAATATCAAGTCACATCTCCTCACCTTACAGGTATACTATCACAGGTAGATCAATATCAAGTCATATCCCCTCACCTTACAGGTATACTATCACAGGTAGATCAATATCAAGTCACATCTCCTCACCTTACAGGACAAAGCAGGTGTTATGATCTACTGTATGTAAGTATTTAGCATTTGCTTGATATTGATGACTGCAGTAAAGTATTACAAAGATTTCACCTCATTTTCATTGAGATGAGTCGGTGTTTGAGTGAATATTGCCAGGTGTGTTCATTGAGTGAAGAAGACTCACAGACACGTATTGTACACTCACCATACGGAACGAACGGCAGGTCTGTTGGAGGGATGAGGATAAATTTCTTCCATCCCGACACCACGCAGTACAGGTTCTCATAGTGGTCTCTGTGCACTACAACCAGAACAGCAGAAAATTCACTCATAGGGAGTCACCACACAGATTCATCAATACAGAACACCTGTCATGAGAACACAACATGCTATCACTGGTACAGAATATTGAGGTGCACGGACAGGACATTCAGTGAGAATGTAAACTAACAAACCATGACACAAGTCAATACAATCATCAAGACACAATGTACAACTTGAACTTATTATCTCACTTTTGAAACTTTCATGGACATAATCTATTCATCTTATCTATTCTACCTATTATTGTATATTCTATCTATATCTACTGGTGATGATAGACAGACCATCCTCAACCCTATCAAGTTTTCCAAATACAGGAGACAATCCTATCTGTTCTACTCATTCAAGGAGAGAGTCAAACCTTCACCATTCCTATCTAGTCTACTCACTGGAGGAGACAATCCTATCTGTTCTACTCATTCAAGGAGAGAGTCAAACCTTCACCATTCCTATCTAGTCTACTTACTGGAGGAGACAATCCCATCTCTTCTACTCATTCAAGGAGAGAGTACAGCCTACACCATTCCTATCTAGTCTACTCACTGGAGGAGACAATCCCATCTCTTCTACTCATTCAAGGAGAGAGTACAGCTTACACCATTCCTATCTAGTCTACTCACTGGAGGAGACAATCCTATCTGTTCTACTCATTCAAGGAGAGAGTACAGCTTACACCATTCCTATCTAGTCTACTTACTGGAGGAGACAATCCCATCTCTTCTACTCATTCAAGGAGAGAGTACAGCCTACACCATCCCTATCTAGTCTACTCACTGGAGGAGACAATCCTATCTGTTCTACTCATTCAAGGAGAGAGTCAAACCTTCACCATTCCTATCTAGTCTACTCACTGGAGGAGACAATCCTATCTGTTCTACTCATTCAAGGAGAGAGTACAGCTTACACCATTCCTATCTAGTCTACTTACTGGAGGAGACAATCCCATCTCTTCTACTCATTCAAGGAGAGAGTACAGCCTACACCATTCCTATCTAGTCTACTCACTGGAGGAGACAATCCCATCTCTTCTACTCATTCAAGGAGAGAGTACAGCTTACACCATTCCTATCTAGTCTACTCACTGGAGGAGACAATCCTATCTGTTCTACTCATTCAAGGAGAGGGTCCAGCCTACACCAGTCCTATCTAGTCTACTCACTGGAGGAGGCAATCCTATCTGTTCTACTCATTCAAGGAGAGAGTCCAGCTTACACCATTCCTATCTAGTCTACTCACTGGAGGAGACAATCCTATCTGTTCTACTCATTCAAGGAGAGAGTCAAACCTTCACCATTCCTATCTAGTCTACTCACTGGAGGAGACAATCCCATCTCTTCTACTCATTCAAGGAGAGAGTACAGCTTACACCATTCCTATCTAGTCTACTCACTGGAGGAGACAATCCTATCTGTTCTACTCATTCAAGGAGAGGGTCCAGCCTACACCAGTCCTATCTAGTCTACTCACTGGAGGAGGCAATCCTATCTGTTCTACTCATTCAAGGAGAGAGTCCAGCTTACACCATTCCTATCTAGTCTACTCACTGGAGGAGACAATCCTATCTGTTCTACTCATTCAAGGAGAGAGTCAAACCTTCACCATTCCTATCTAGTCTACTCACTGGAGGAGACAATCCTATCTGTTCTACTCATTCAAGGAGAGAGTACAGCTTACACCATTCCTATCTAGTCTACTCACTGGAGGAGACAATCCTATCTGTTCTACTCATTCAAGGAGAGGGTCCAGCCTACACCAGTCCTATCTAGTCTACTCACTGGAGGAGGCAATCCTATCTGTTCTACTCATTCAAGGAGAGAGTCCAGCTTACACCATTCCTATCTAGTCTACTCACTGGAGGAGACAATCCTATCTGTTCTACTCACTCAAGGAGAGAGTACAGCTTACACCATTCCTATCTAGTCTACTCACTGGAGGAGACAATCCTATCTAGTCTACTCACTGAAGGCGACAATCCCATCTGTTCTACTCATTCAAGGAGAGAGTCCAACTTTCAACATTCCTATCTAGTCTACTCACTGGAGGAGACAATCCCATCTGTTCTACTCATTCAAGGAGAGAGTCCAACTTTCAACATTCCTATCTAGTCTACTCACTGGAGGAGACAATCCTATCTGTTCTACTCATTCAAGGAGAGAGTACAGCCTACACCATTCCTATCTAGTCTACTCACTGGAGGAGACAATCCCATCTGTTCTACTCATTCAAGGAGAGAGTCCAACTTTCAACATTCTTATCTAGTCTACTCACTGAAGGAGACAATCCCATCTGTTCTACTCATTCAAGGAGAGAGTCCAACTTTCAACATTCCTATCTAGTCTACTCACTGGAGGAGACAATCCTATCTGTTCTATTCATTCAATGAGAGAGTACAGCCTACACCAATCCTATCTAGTCTACTCACTGGAGGTGACAGCTCTACCATCCCCCATCCAGAAGTTCACAGCATCAGGAGACCTCCCTGAAATACAAATGATACATTTATGTCAGTAATCTATAAATTCAAACTTACATTTGAAATTCCATGCAGTACCTACATATTTATTACCTACTTTACACATACCAAATACTTTACTGCCAAGTGTCAGGTCAGCTAACCTACTAAATACTTTACTGACAAGTGTCAGGTCGGCTAACCTACTAAATACTTTACTGCCAAGTGTCAGGTTGGCTAACCTACTAAATACTTCACTGACAATCTCAGGTCAGCTAACCTACTAAATACTTTACTGCCAAGTGTCAGGTCGGCTAACCTACTAAATACTTTACTGCCAAGTGTCAGGTCGGCTAACCTACTAAATACTTTACTGCCAAGTGTCAGGTCGGCTAACCTACTAAATACTTTACTGCCAAGTGTCAGGTCGGCTAACCTACTAAATACTTTACTGCCAAGTGTCAGGTTGGCTAACCTACTAAATACTTTACTGCCAAGTGTCAGGTTGGCTAACCTACTAAATACTTTACTGCCAAGTGTCAGGTTGGCTAACCTACTAAATACTTTACTGCCAAGTGTCAGGTCGGCTAACCTACTAAATACTTTACTGCCAAGTGTCAGGTCAGCTAACCTACTAAATACTTTACTGCCAAGTGTCAGGTCAGCTAACCTACTAAATACTTTACTGCCAAGTGTCAGGTCAGCTAACCTACTAAATACTTTACTGCCAAATGTCAGGTCAGCTAACCTACTAAATACTTTACTGCCAAGTGTCAGGTCGGCTAACCTACTAAATACTTTACTGCCAAGTGTCAGGTCAGCTAACCTACTAAATACTTTACTGCCAAGTGTCAGGTCGGCTAACCTACTAAATACTTTACTGCCAAGTGTCAGGTTGGCTAACCTACTAAATACTTTACTGACAAGTGTCAGGTTGGCTAACCTACTAAATACTTTACTGACAAGTGTCAGGTTGGCTAACCTACTAAATACTTTACTGACAAGTGTCAGGTCAGCTAACCTACTAAATACTTCACTGACAATCTCAGGTCAGCTAACCTACTAAATACTTTACTGCCAAGTGTCAGGTCAGCTAACCTACTAAATACTTTTTACTGCCAAGTGTCAGGTCGGGCTAACCTACTAAATACTTTACTGCCAAGTGTCAGGTCGGCTAACCTTACTAAATACTTTTACTGCCAAGTGTCAGGTTGGCTAACCTACTAAATACTTTACTGCCAAGTGTCAGGTTGGCTAACCTACTAAATACTTTTACTGCCAAGTGTCAGGTCGGCTAACCTACTAAATACTTTACTGCCAAGTGTCAGGTTGGCTAACCTACTAAATACTTCACTGACAATCTCAGGTCAGCTAACCTACTAAATACTTTACTGCCAAGTGTCAGGTCAGCTAACCTACTAAATACTTTACTGCCAAGTGTCAGGTCAGCTAACCTACTAAATACTTTACTGCCAAGTGTCAGGTCAGCTAACCTACTAAATACTTTACTGCTAAGTGTCAGGTCAGCTAACCTACTAAATACTTTACTGCCAAGTGTCAGGTCGGCTAACCTACTAAATACTTTACTGCCAAGTGTCAGGTCGGCTAACCTACTAAATACTTTACTGCCAAGTGTCAGGTCGGCTAACCTACTAAATACTTTACTGACAAGTGTCAGGTTGGCTAACCTACTAAATACTTTACTGCCAAGTGTCAGGTCGGCTAACCTACTAAATACTTTACTGACAAGTGTCAGGTCGGCTAACCTACTAAATACTTTACTGACAAGTGTCAGGTCGGGCTAACCTACTAAATGCTTTACTGCCAAGTGTCAGGTCGGCTAACCTACTAAATACTTTACTGACAAGTGTCAGGGTCAGCTAACCTACTAAATACTTTACTGCCAAGTGTCAGGTCAGCTAACCTACTAAATACTTTACTGCCAAGTGTCAGGTTGGCTAACCTACTAAATACTTCACTGACAATCTCAGGTCAGCTAACCTACTAAATACTTTACTGCCAAGTGTCAGGTTGGCTAACCTACTAAATACTTTACTTACAATCTCAGGTCAGCTAACCTACTAAATACTTTACTGCCAAGTGTCAGGTTAGGCTAACCTACTAAATACTTTTTACTGCCAAGTGTCAGGTCGGCTAACCTACTAAATACTTTACTGACAAGTGTCAGGTCAGCTAACCTACTAAATACTTTACTGCCAAGTGTCAGGTCAGCTAACCTACTAAATACTTTACTGTCAAGTGTCAGGTTGGCTAACCTACTAAATACTTCACTGACAATCTCAGGTCAGCTAACCTACTAAATACTTTACTGCCAAGTGTCAGGTTGGCTAACCTACTAAATACTTTACTTACAATCTCAGGTCAGCTAACCTACTAAATACTTTACTGCTAGAGTGTCAGGTCGGCTAACCTACTAAATACTTTTACTGCCAAGTGTCAGGTCGGCTAACCTACTAAATACTTTACTGCCAAGTGTCAGGGTCAGCTAACCTACTAAATACTTTACTGCCAAGTGTCAGGTCAGCTAACCTACTAAATACTTTACTGCCAAGTGTCAGGTCAGCTAACCTACTAAATACTTTACTGCCAAATGTCAGGTCAGCTAACCTACTAAATACTTTACTGCCAAGTGTCAGGTCGGCTAACCTACTAAATACTTTACTGCCAAGTGTCAGGTCAGCTAACCTACTAAATACTTTACTGCCAAGTGTCAGGTCGGCTAACCTACTAAATACTTCACTGACAATCTCAGGTCAGCTAACCTACTAAATACTTTACTGCCAAGTGTCAGGTCGGCTAACCTACTAAATACTTTACTGCCAAGTGTCAGGTCGGCTAACCTACTAAATACTTTACTGCCAAGTGTCAGGTTGGCTAACCTACTAAATACTTTACTGCCAAGTGTCAGGTCAGCTAACCTACTAAATACTTTACTGCCAAGTGTCAGGTCGGCTAACCTACTAAATACTTTACTGACAAGTGTCAGGTTGGCTAACCTACTAAATACTTTACTGCCAAGTGTCAGGTCGGCTAACCTACTAAATACTTTACTGACAAGTGTCAGGTCGGCTAACCTACTAAATACTTTACTGCCAAGAGTCAGGTCGGCTAACCTACTAAATACTTTACTGCCAAGTGTCAGGTCGGCTAACCTACTAAATACTTTACTGACAAGTGTCAGGTCAGCTAACCTACTAAATACTTTACTGCCAAGTGTCAGGTCAGCTAACCTACTAAATACTTTACTGCCAAGTGTCAGGTTGGCTAACCTACTAAATACTTCACTGACAATCTCAGGTCAGCTAACCTACTAAATACTTTACTGCCAAGTGTCAGGTTGGCTAACCTACTAAATACTTTACTTACAATCTCAGGTCAGCTAACCTACTAAATACTTTACTGCCAAGTGTCAGGTCGGCTAACCTACTAAATACTTTACTGACAAGTGTCAGGTCGGCTAACCTACTAAATACTTTACTGACAAGTGTCAGGTCAGCTAACCTACTAAATACTTTACTGCCAAGTGTCAGGTCAGCTAACCTACTAAATACTTTACTGCCAAGTGTCAGGTTGGCTAACCTACTAAATACTTCACTGACAATCTCAGGTCAGCTAACCTACTAAATACTTTACTGCCAAGTGTCAGGTTGGCTAACCTACTAAATACTTTACTTACAATCTCAGGTCAGCTAACCTACTAAATACTTTACTGCCAAGTGTCAGGTCGGCTAACCTACTAAATACTTTACTGCCAAGTGTCAGGTCGGCTAACCTACTAAATACTTTACTGCCAAGTGTCAGGTCAGCTAACCTACTAAATACTTTACTGCCAAGTGTCAGGTCAGCTAACCTACTAAATACTTTACTGCCAAGTGTCAGGTCAGCTAACCTACTAAATACTTTACTGCCAAATGTCAGGTCAGCTAACCTACTAAATACTTTACTGCCAAGTGTCAGGTCGGCTAACCTACTAAATACTTTACTGACAAGTGTCAGGTTGGCTAACCTACTAAATACTTTACTGCCAAGTGTCAGGTCGGCTAACCTACTAAATACTTTACTGACAAGTGTCAGGTCGGCTAACCTACTAAATACTTTACTGACAAGTGTCAGGTCGGCTAACCTACTAAATACTTTTTACTGCCAAGTGTCAGGTCGGCTAACCTACTAAATACTTTACTGACAAGTGTCAGGTCAGCTAACCTACTAAATACTTTACTGCCAAGTGTCAGGTCAGCTAACCTACTAAATACTTTTACTGCCAAGTGTCAGGTTGGCTAACCTACTAAATACTTCACTGACAATCTCAGGTCAGCTAACCTACTAAATACTTTACTGCCAAGTGTCAGGTTGGCTAACCTACTAAATACTTTACTTACAATCTCAGGTCAGCTAACTTACTAAATACTTTACTGCCAAGTGTCAGGTCGGCTTACCTACTAAATACTTTTACTGCCAAGTGTCAGGTCGGCTAACCTACTAAATACTTTTACTGACAAGTGTCAGGTCAGCTAACCTACTAAATACTTTTACTGCCAAGTGTCAGGTCAGCTAACCTACTAAATACTTTACTGCCAAGTGTCAGGTTGGCTAACCTACTAAATACTTCACTGACAATCTCAGGTCAGCTAACCTACTAAATACTTTACTGCCAAGTGTCAGGTTGGCTAACCTACTAAATACTTTACTTACAATCTCAGGTCAGCTAACCTACTAAATACTTTACTGCCAAGTGTCAGGTCGGGCTAACCTACTAAATACTTTACTGCCAAGTGTCAGGTCGGCTAACCTACTAAATACTTTACTGCCAAGTGTCAGGGTCAGCTAACCTACTAAATACTTTACTGCTAAGTGTCAGGTCAGCTAACCTACTAAATACTTTACTGCCAAGTGTCAGGTCAGCTAACCTACTAAATACTTTACTGCCAAATGTCAGGTCAGCTAACCTACTAAATACTTTACTGCCAAGTGTCAGGTCGGGCTAACCTACTAAATACTTTACTGCCAAGTGTCAGGTCAGCTAACCTACTAAATACTTTACTGCCAAGTGTCAGGTCGCTAACCTACTAAATACTTTTACTGCCAAGTGTCAGGTTGGCTAACCTACTAAATACTTTACTGACAAGTGTCAGGTTGGCTAACCTACTAAATACTTTACTGACAAGTGTCAGGTTGGCAAACCTACTAAATACTTTACTGACAAGTGTCAGGTCAGCTAACCTACTAAATACTTCACTGACAATCTCAGGTCAGCTAACCTACTAAATACTTTACTGCCAAGTGTCAGGTCAGCTAACCTACTAAATACTTTACTGCCAAGTGTCAGGTCGGCTAACCTACTAAATACTTTACTGCTGCGTCAGGTCGGCTAACCTACTAAATACTTTACTGCCAAGTGTCAGGTTGGCTAACCTACTAAATACTTTACTGCCAAGTGTCAGGTTGGCTAACCTACTAAATACTTTACTGCCAAGTGTCAGGTCGGCTAACCTACTAAATACTTTACTGCCAAGTGTCAGGTTGGCTAACCTACTAAATACTTCACTGACAATCTCAGGTCAGCTAACCTACTAAATACTTTACTGACAAGTGTCAGGTCAGCTAACCTACTAAATACTTTACTGCCAAGTGTCAGGTCAGCTAACCTACTAAATACTTTACTGCCAAGTGTCAGGTCAGCTAACCTACTAAATACTTTACTGCCAAGTGTCAGGTCAGCTAACCTACTAAATACTTTTACTGCTAAGTGTCAGGTCGGCTAACCTACTAAATACTTTACTGCCAAGTGTCAGGTCAGCTAACCTACTAAATACTTTACTGCCAAGTGTCAGGTCGGCTAACCTACTAAATACTTTACTGACAAGTGTCAGGTCGGCTAACCTACTAAATACTTTACTGCCAAGTGTCAGGTCGGCTAACCTACTAAATACTTTACTGACAAGTGTCAGGTCGGCTAACCTACTAAATACTTTACTGCCAAGTGTCAGGTCGGCTAACCTACTAAATACTTTACTGCCAAGTGTCAGGTCGGCTAACCTACTAAATACTTTACTGCCAAGTGTCAGGTCAGCTAACCTACTAAATACTTTACTGACAAGTGTCAGGTTGGCAAACCTACTAAATACTTTACTGACAAGTGTCAGGTCAGCTAACCTACTAAATACTTCACTGACAATCTCAGGTCAGCTAACCTACTAAATACTTTACTGCCAAGTGTCAGGTCAGCTAACCTACTAAATACTTTACTGCCAAGTGTCAGGTCGGCTAACCTACTAAATACTTTACTGCCAAGTGTCAGGTCGGCTAACCTACTAAATACTTTACTGCCAAGTGTCAGGTTGGCTAACCTACTAAATACTTTACTGCCAAGTGTCAGGTTGGCTAACCTACTAAATACTTTTACTGCCAAGTGTCAGGTCGGCTAACCTACTAAATACTTTACTGCCAAGTGTCAGGGTTGGCTAACCTACTAAATACTTCACTGACAATCTCAGGTCAGCTAACCTACTAAATACTTTACTGCCAAGTGTCAGGTCAGCTAACCTACTAAATACTTTACTGCCAAGTGTCAGGTCAGCTAACCTACTAAATACTTTACTGCCAAGTGTCAGGTCAGCTAACCTACTAAATACTTTACTGCCAAGTGTCAGGTCAGCTAACCTACTAAATACTTTACTGCCAAGTGTCAGGTCGGCTAACCTACTAAATACTTTACTGCCAAGTGTCAGGTCAGCTAACCTACTAAATACTTTACTGCCAAGTGTCAGGTCGGCTAACCTACTAAATACTTTACTGACAAGTGTCAGGTCGGCTAACCTACTAAATACTTTTACTGCCAAGTGTCAGGTCGGCTAACCTACTAAATACTTTTACTGACAAGTGTCAGGTCGGCTAACCTACTAAATACTTTACTGCCAAGTGTCAGGTCGGCTAACCTACTAAATACTTTACTGCCAAGTGTCAGGTCGGCTAACCTACTAAATACTTTACTGACAAGTGTCAGGTCAGCTAACCTACTAAATACTTTACTGCCAAGTGTCAGGTCAGCTAACCTACTAAATACTTTACTGCCAAGTGTCAGGTTGGCTAACCTACTAAATACTTCACTGACAATCTCAGGTCAGCTAACCTACTAAATACTTTACTGCCAAGTGTCAGGTTGGCTAACCTACTAAATACTTTACTTACAATCTCAGGTCAGCTAACCTACTAAATACTTTACTGCCAAGTGTCAGGTCGGCTAACCTACTAAATACTTCACTGACAATCTCAGGTCAGCTAACCTACTAAATACTTTACTGCCAAGTGTCAGGTCGGCTAACCTACTAAATACTTTACTGCCAAGTGTCAGGTCGGCTAACCTACTAAATACTTTACTGCCAAGTGTCAGGTTGGCTAACCTACTAAATACTTTTTACTGCCAAGTGTCAGGTCGGCTAACCTACTAAATACTTTACTGCCAAGTGTCAGGTCGGCTAACCTACTAAATATTTTACTGACAAGTGTCAGGTTGGCTAACCTACTAAATACTTTACTGACAAGTGTCAGGTCGGCTAACCTACTAAATACTTTACTGCCAAGTGTCAGGTTGGCTAACCTACTAAATACTTTACTGACAAGTGTCAGGTTGGCTAACCTACTAAATACTTTACTGACAAGTGTCAGGTCAGCTAACCTACTAAATACTTTACTGCCAAGTGTCAGGTCGGCTAACCTACTAAATACTTTACTGACAAGTGTCAGGTTGGCTAACCTACTAAATACTTTACTGCCAAGTGTCAGGTCGGCTAACCTACTAAATACTTTACTGACAAGTGTCAGGTTGGCTAACCTACTAAATACTTTACTGCCAAGTGTCAGGTCGGCTAACCTACTAAATACTTTACTGCCAAGTGTCAGGTCAGCTAACCTACTAAATACTTTACTGACAAGTGTCAGGTCGGCTAACCTACTAAATACTTTACTGACAAGTGTCAGGTCAGCTAACCTACTAAATACTTTACTGACAAGTGTCAGGTCAGCTAACCTACTAAATACTTTATTGCCAAGTGTCAGGTCAGCTAACCTACTAAATACTTTACTGACAATCTCAGGTCAGCTAACCTACCAAATGCCTCATTGCCCAGCGTCAGTTCGGGTTCTAAATCGGACATTATGGATGTAAACTCCTCTGTAAGGTTGGAGTTCTGTTTCTGGATGTAGTAAACCTCAGCAGAGTTGTCCCCCTTGTCAAGTTTCTCGAGGAACTCTGACATCGTCATACGTTGTTCCTCTGGCATTACAAACTTCCCCTCAGTGACAGCATCAGCGTAGCCGTTAGGTGTCGCTGTGACCGTTACCTCTAGCTCTCCTATCGTCTTCCTTTGATTACAGAAACACAATGAGACATCACCTGTTGTCAGTACAAGTTGTTATTGGGTAAATATAAATACAGTCAGTCATTTTTAACTGAGACATATGTGCTGATATTTACAAGAGACTAATCTGAACATAATAAAATACAAATGTATCTGAAGTCTTTACAAAACTGTTGTAATTAGAAAGCTTATTTTGTTTGTCCATATGTAAAACATCTGTGCTACTTTATCATCATAAGTATAGTCCATGCAGATATACATGGCTTTCTGTGTGTTGGTCTGAGTTGACACCCACCTGAAATATTCCGGCGACCACTTGGACAGAGCTGGCCAGTGGTCTGTAAGTCCTCGGATCAGGACGGGTTTGTTGGGGGCGACATACTGGCGATGGAAGACCAGAGGTGTGGGTGGCGAGCTCAGCAGTGGGACTTCACTGTCCAGGTACAACTCTAACATGGAAGAGGCAGGGTGAAATGGGCTGTACTGTCACTTCAAAAATTATTGCATTTTTACAGAGAGGCCAATACACTTGTATGTGTTTGTATGTGATAGTTTGTGATACTGCAGTTTATATAATGAAAGGCCTGGCTACTGTCGGTTATATAGTGAATGGCCTGGCTACTGTCGGTTACATAGTGAAAGGCCTGGCTACTATCGGTTATATAGTGAAAGGCCTGGCTACTGTCGGTTATATAGTGAATGGCCTGGCTACTGTTGGTTATATAGTGAAAAGCCTGGCTACTGTCGGTTATATAGTGAAAGGCCTGGCTACTGTCGGTTATATAGTGAAAGGTCTGGCTACTGTCGGTTATATAGTGTAAGTTACAATAGTGAAGTGGTAAGGCGTCATCACGCTGAAGGCCCGGGTTCGATCCCCAGTGGAGGCACCTAGGTTCAGGTCCTGAGGTGGGCACATTTGTGTAGTATCCTTGCACAAGATACTTAAATCCATATTGTCTCAGTTCACCCAGCTGAAAATGGGTGCCTGTGAGGATGTGCAGGCAATATGAGTGTTTAGTTCATTGCGCCTAACAGGCATCATGGCTGTATGTTCCCCAAGGAGTTGAAAAAGTATTGGAAAGTATGATAGTGTCCTATGACCGGGGATAGTAATACATGTAGCGCCGTGAGCTGGCAATGTGCCTGGATATGAGCGCCACATAAGCGGACTATTATCATTAGTCTGTATTACTGTTGGTTATATAACAAGCATTGTCACTAAGGTGACATAATCCCCTGCCGCAAATTATGAAATCAACCTTAAAAAGTAATGAAAGTGAAGGTCGTAATTTAAGATGAAGTTAAAAGTAAACAAAAACATGACCAGTCAACCTCTCTTGATATCTTGCTCTGTAGTTGTTCAAACGCACAAATATTTTCAAGACTCACTTTGACCTTGACATGAATGTCTTAGTGTATGAAATATGCAAAAATAGTAATAAAGAAATTGCTTATTGAAAAACATTCAAGGGAAGTCTTGAAAGTCTATGAAGAAAATCCAGTGAACTGTTCTTAAGATATCTTGCTGACAATCTTAACATGCAGTTTAAGATGCTGAAATCTTCAAAGTGTCACCGTGACCTTGAAAATAAGGTGAAGGTCACCAAAATCGACTGGGCCCTGCGCCTTCCCTCGATGAAGCTTGATGTCGAATATGAAGAAAATCAAGTTAACGGTTCTTGAGGTATCTCGCTGACAAGCTTAACATGCAGCTTAACATGCTGAAATCTTCAGAGTGTCGCCATGACCTTGAAAATTAGGTGAAGGTCACCAAAATCGACTGGGCCCTGCGCCTTCCCTAGATAAAGCTTGGTGTTGAATATGAAGAAAATCCAGCAAACGGTTCTTGAGATATCTCGCTGACAAGGGTAAAACGTTAAAGTCCCCCTTGTGACCTTGAAATGAAGGTCAAGGTCACCAAACCTGACTGGGACCTTTCTTTTACTGTGATGAACCTAAGTATCAAATATGAAAAGAATCCATTCAACGGTTCTTAAGATATTCCAATTTGTACGTACGTAGCCTAATACTATATCCCCCGCTTCGCGCTAAACACGCGGCGGAGGATAATAATAGTTCAGGCTACTTTTGATCATATTGTGTTAATCTGGACTATTGTCAGTCATATAGTGCTTGACATGCACACAAGACTGTTTCATCAGTTCTGGACCAATCAGCTTTAGGCAACATTGTTTTTGGATTAATCAAGGTTTACTTTGGACAGGTGTAACAGAGTGTGGCATAGACAGAATGGTTTGAGAAAACTATAATTTTTGGGGTAGTTAAGTAATGGCATGGGGTGGGCTCATTGTGACAGGCAGAACATCATCATATATTATTCATGGACATGTCACTTGGCAGTACAACCATGACAACATCCTGGAGGTACACAAGGTGCAATGTGCACACCAACATGGATGTTATTTTGTACTTATGGATGGCAATGAGAGCATACAGGGCACATATTGTTACTGAGTACCTCCAACAGGATACTTGACCACTTTACCATGGCAGGCACTCAGTCCAGACTTGCCACCATCAAACATATATTGTCATTATCAACAACCACCAAATAGTCTCAACGATCTCACTGCTGCCCAGGAGGAAGAACTAGATAGAATGAATCTGGTTGACATTTGATGTTTGATTAGGAGCATACCTTCGGATTGTGTTGAGAACACGGTGTGTGTGTGTGTGTGTCGGTGTGTGCGTGTGTGTATTAATCATAATGAATTTGATTTTTCATGGTAAATCATGGCATGATGGACAGTGGGCACTTGAGCCTATCATCTAACAAAATCTGTGTTCATCTGATGTTCAACGACTGAAGCAAATGACAGTCAGATGTCTCTGTCACACTGTTAAACTATTTACTTCATAAAAGATATAAAATATCAGCGGTTGTGACTAGGGCTGTAACGATGCATCGAACTATCGATGGATTGCAATTGTTGAGTCTCCGATAGCAATTAATCGATGGCAGAAACGAAAAACAACTATCGATGTATCAATAGTATGTGTGACTATCAATAGTTTAGTAATTGACTTCCGTTGATAAATGTGCACCTCAAAATATAGGAAGTACCTGATTTGTTCACTTTGATTCAGAGTTATCTGCCCTTATTACCTCTTAAACACACTTGATCTGGGTTTCAGGTTTCTTGTCAGTTATTAAAAGAGACTGAAACTGCTTCAGCTTGTTTTTATTACATATAAACCATACACTCATTTAGGAAATGACTTCAAATGAGACAATTCAAAGAGAAAAACACAGCTATTGCAATAGTTGGTTGCAATAGACTATCACTATCGCGATAGTTGTTTCCCCCATAATAGTCACCCCAAGTTGTGACACTTTTCTACTGAATATCCACTACTATTTGTAAATACTATAAGACTGTGATAATTGTCATTACATAATATATTCCATGTGATAATTGTCAAGGGGTCATACAAGGGGATTTGTAGCAATGTACTGATCTGTTATTAATAATGTACTCATCAGAGGAGAACAAAAACTTTGGGGAAATTTGTACAATGTAAACATTCAAAAGCAAATTTGTATATGTATAATTCAGTTACATTTTCAGTGCATACTATTTTGGGTATCTCTGTAATCAAAGATCCATTTTGATATACAATGTGCACTATCTTGATCAGCTTGGTAATTTCAACTCCAATGTTTATTATGTTTGGCAACTTTGTACAGTTCACACCTGTAATTACAATGCTTATCAACTTTGGCAACTGTGTAATATCTCCTGCTTGTATATACAATGATTACAACCCAACCTCCTCACAGACAAGATGGTGTAGTTTCCAGAACTCAACCTATCATATGGAAGGTTATCCTTTTCTTAACTCTTAGTTTGATCATAATCTTCGTAATCATGATCTTGTGACCACTTCAGATTAATCACTGGCCGAGAAATATTAATCGGACCCTGACAGAAATAGACGATTAACCTGTCTACAGCTGGTCTACCACCTGAAGTAGATAACAGTACGTAACACGGGGGACCACCGTGTACTGCTGATCAATGTGACGTTACCAACTTACCTCTCGCCTCGTTCGACAGATATAGAAATTCTTGTTTGATCGCGGCTGTCAAATCTTTAGAATCCTTCTCAGACATCTTGCTGTCATATTCCGCTGACCGTTTGACACAAGGACCAAGACACACTCTGGACACGGTCAAACTAATCAGCATTTGTTGACATCAGGCACGTGTTCCGTTCGTACCGGAAGTTTATAAAGTTGTCTCTAAAATGACGATTTACTTAACGAAACGAAGATAGTAGAAACCGGAAAATGAGTGAAAATGAATGGAACTGTTTTCACTTTTAGCAGTCTGTTGGTGTTTCTGTGATGATAAAGGCAAATATTCAGTGAAAAAAGCGTAATGTACATAAAAAATAATGTAGAGAATTGCTTTCGATAGCTTGTCTGAAAAACCAGAGACCATATAATCTATTATATGGTCTCTTGAAAAACTAAAATAAATAAAAACAAATAAATCAGTCGGGGAAGACTTAAGATGAAACGTTCTTTGGTTATAATTGTAATATTCAACAAGTGAACTGATCTACTTAGACTTTATTGACTTAGACCTGGAATGAAGACACCTGGTAGACCGCAAGTACAGCGAAAAGACTACACAGCAAGTAGACCGAGTACATCACACAGGAAGTACACCGAGTACACTACACAGCAAGTACACCGAGTACACCATACAGGAAGTACACCGAGTACACTACACAGCAAGTACACCGAGTACACCATACAGGAAGTACACCGAGTACACTACACAGCAAGCGAACTGAGTACACCACACAGCAAGCGAACTGAGTACACTACACAGGAAGTACAGCGAGTACACCATACAGGAAGTACACCGAATAGACTACACAGCAAGTACACCGAATAGACTACACAGCAAGTAGACCGCGAGTACACCACACAGCAAGTACACCGAACAGACTACACAGCAAGTAGACCGAGTACACCACACAGGAAGTACACCGAGTACACTACACAGCAAGTACACCGAGTACACCATACAGGAAGTACACCGAGTAAACTACACAGCAAGTACACCGAGTACACCATACAGGAAGTACACCGAGTACACTACACAGCAAACGAACTGAGTACACAATACAGGAAGTACACCGAATAGACTACACAGCAAGTACACCGAATAGAGTACACAGCAAGCGAACTGAGTACACTACACAGCAAGCGAACTGAGTACACCACACAGCAAGCGAACTGAGTACACCACACAGCAAGCGAACTGAGTACACCACACAGGAAGTACAGCGAGTACACCATACAGGAAGTACACCGAATAGACTACACAGCAAGTACACCGAATAGACTACACAGCAAGTAGACCGAGTACACCACACAGCAAGTACACCGAGTACACTACACAGCAAGTACACCGAATAAACTACACAGCAAGTAGACCGAGTACACCACACAGGAAGTACACCGAGTACACTACACAGCAAGTACACCGAGTACACCATACAGGAAGTACACCGAGTACACTACACAGCAAGTACACCGAGTACACCATACAGGAAATACACCGATAATACACTACACAGCAAGTACCGGTACACCATACACCGACACGAGTACACTACACAGCAAGTACCGAGTACACCATGCAAAGTACACCGGTACACCAGCAAGGACAATCGAATAGACTACACAGCAAGCGAACTGAGTACATCACACAGCAAGTACATCGAGTACACCATACAGGAAGTACACCGAGTACACTACACAGCAAGTACACCGAATAGACTACACAGCAAGCGAACTGAGTACATCACACAGCAAGTACAACGAGTACACCATACAGGAAGTACACCGAGTACACTACACAGCAAGTACACCGAATAGACTACACAGCAAGCGAACTGAGTACATCACACAGCAAGTACATCGAGTACACTACACAGCAAGTACACCGAGTACACAGGCAGGAAGTAGACCGAGTACACCACACAGGAAGTACATCGAATACACTACACAGCAAGTACACCGAGTACACAGGCAGGAAGTAGACCGAGTACACCACACAGGAAGTACATCGAGTACACTACACAGCAAGTACACCGAGTACACAGGCAGGAAGTAGACCGAGTACACCACACAGGAAGTACACCGAGTACACTACACAGCAAGTACACCGAATAGACTACACAGCCAGCGAGCTGAGTACACCACACAGCAAGTACACCGAGTACACCATACAGGAAGTACACCGAGTACACTACACAGCAAGTACACCGAGTACACAGGCAGGAAGTAGACCGAGTACACCACACAGGAAGTACATCGAGTACACTACACAGCAAGTACACCGAATAGACTACACAGCAAGCGAGCTGAGTACACCACACAGCAAGTACACCGAGTACACTACACAGCAAGTACACCGAATAGACTACACAGCAAGCGAACTGAGTACACTACACAGCAAGTACACCGAGTACACTACACAGCAAGTACTCCGAGTACACAACACAGCAAGTACACCGAGTACACAGGCAGGAAGAAGACCGAGTACACCACACAGGAAGTACATCGAGTACACTACACAGCAAGTACACCGAGTACACCATACAGGAAGTACACCGAGTACACTACACAGCAAGTACACCGAGTACACAGGCAGGAAGTAGACCGAGTACACCACACAGGAAGTACATCGAGTACACTACACAGCAAGTACACCGAATAGACTACACAGCAAGCGAGCTGAGTACACCACACAGCAAGTACACCGAGTACACTACACAGCAAGTACACCGAATAGACTACACAGCAAGCGAACTGAGTACACCACACAGCAAGTACACCGAGTACACTACACAGCAAGTACTCCGAGTACACAACACAGCAAGTACACCGAGTACACAGGCAGGAAGAAGACCGAGTACACCACACAGGAAGTACATCGAGTACACTACACAGCAAGTACACCGAGTACACCATACAGGAAGTACACCGAGTACACTACACAGCAAGTACACCGAGTACACAGGCAGGAAGTAGACCGAGTACACCACACAGCAAGTACACCGAGTACACTACACAGCAAGTACACCGAGTACACCATACAGGAAGTACACCGAGTACACTACACAGCAAGTACACCGAGTACACAGGCAGGAAGTAGACCGAGTACACCACACAGGAAGTACATCGAGTACACTACACAGCAAGTACACCGAGTACACCATACAGGAAGTAGACCGAGTACACCACACAGCAAGTAGACCGAGTACACTACACAGCAAGTACACCGAGTACACTACACAGCAAGTACACCGAGTACAGTACACAGCAAGTACACCTAATAGACTACACAGCAAGCGAACTGAGTACATCACACAGCAAGTACACCGAGTACACTATACAGCAAGTACACCGAGTACACCAGTCAGGAAGTACACCGAGTACACTACACAGCAAGTACACCGAATAGACTACACAGCAAGCGAACTGAGTACACCACACAGCAGGCGAACTGAGTACACCACACAGCAAGTACACCGAGTACACTACTCAGCAAGTACACCGAGTACACTACACAGCAAGTACACCGAGTACACTACACAGCAAGTACACCGAACAGACTACACAGCAAGCGAACTGAGTACATCACACAGCAAGTACACCGAGTACACTGTACAGCAAGTACACCGAGTACACCAGTCAGGAAGTACACCGAGTACACTACACAACAAGTACACCGAATAAACTACACAGCAAGCGAACTGAGTACACCACACAGCAAGTACACCGAGTACACCAGTCAGGAAGTACACCGAGTACACTACACAGCAAGTACACCGAATAAACTACACAGCAAGCGAACTGAGTACACCACACAGCAAGTACACCGAGTACACCAGTCAGGAAGTAGACCGAAACACAAGGCAGGAAGTACACCGAGTACATCTCGCATCAAGTATACCGAGTACACCACACTGTTAGTACTCCTAGTAGGTCGCTCACCTTTTACAGCAAGTATACATGGAGCAGACAGCACAGCATATAGAAAGTACCAACCACAGCAAGTTTAACGCGTAGACGGCTCGTACAGACGTTATTGTCGGTGTATTTTACGGTCGCTTCAGCAAGCATGGAAACTTTACACATGGTTCAACACATACCAGCAGATGACACAGACGCCGTGCTTGCAGAAGGACCGAATTCTGTAGGTCAAGAACAACCGCCAAGCTTTACCATGTTTACAAAGTAGAAGGTTGTTTGCAATTTTGTGGGGTTGTAATCCAAAATAGCAATCATCAATCGCTAGCACCTTTAAGAACATGTTGACGGATATGATACTCAACATTGAGCCACGAACAAGAATAAACAGTGATCTTATCCTTAAAATGGATTTCAATTTTAACATAAAATTTATACAGGGTGCACGAGGTGGCCAGGCCTTTGATCAACTTGATGAGATGACCAGACCCTTGTTCAACAGTACCAGGTGATAAGAAAGTATGACACTTTATGGATAACAACTTCATCACACCCCAGTGGGTAGAACTGTTGTGTCCCGCACCTCCAGCAACCAACTCCAGACCACTGTATACAGAAAACCCACCCATACGGATCAGTATATCCACTACAACTCCAATCATCCACCTAAAGTTAAGACCGGCATCATCTCCACACTAACCAGAAGGGCCAAGAACATCTGCTCAACTAAACTACAAGATGAAATCGAACACCTCAAGAAAGTCTTCGTAGAACGCAACCACTTTCCATCCCAAATAGTCAACAGAACCATCGCTGCCACCCTGTCACCCCCTACCAAAAGACCCAAACAAGATTTAGCCCCCATCAAGATATCCATCCCCTACATTGGCAAACCGTCACATCAAATCAGCCGCCTCCTGAAAGATCAAGCTGGCATAGATACCACCTTCTCCGCGTCCTCCAACATTAACAACATTCTCCATGCCAATGGAAGAAAACCCGCCACCGTAAAGAACAACAACCCAAAATGTGTCATCTACAAAATAAACTGTGACTGTGGGCAGAGCTACACAGGCGAAACTTCCCGACCCATCAACACCCGAGTGAAAGAACATCAGACCTCTGTTACCAATTCCGACAGCAAATCAGCCATTTCCGACCACATCAAAGCAAGCCCCAATCATCAAATAGAGTGGTCTGACATCACCATTCTCTCTAACATGTCCCATTATGCTTGACAACGGTACAAGAATCTGTATCGAAACGTCGCACTCACGAATAAAAAGAAGTTGTTATCCATAAAGTTTGTTCTATATTGAACTTCATATCATATATGATGTCACGACCTGTACACGGTAACCACGACCTTGTCCCGCTGTAAGGGGTGATGATGCTTTTGTAAGGGTAAGAGATAACCATGCGTTTCCGGGTTACCTGGCAGCAGTTGATATTCAATTTAGACATTGCAAGTGTGGAATGAAACTGCTTGTTGTACACTAGACGGGTGTGAATGTTGGACAGCCCAGGGAGACTTGTCGCAACATCAGGTACATATCGTTTGTAAATTGGACATCAATATCACTCTGTAACACACTTTAATATGTTGTATGAACACTTCCCGCTTGATGCCATGGTCGCACTGTGACAGCCGACCTTGGGTGGTAATGGATGGCGTGCTGTGTCTTAATTCCTCACAGGAGACAAGGTATTTGATATGTTGCTGTGACCTTCACAAAACCGAACGTGTTCCTTTCAGCTGGTGTGCCCCCGACTGTCGCATGGCAACAAGAGTTACGTCCAGGCCACCATACAGTTTCTTTCGAATTTACAATCTTTCGTTTATTTTATGGAGTGGTAATTTGTGTATGGGCCTCACAAATGTCGGGGAAAGACCAGCAGCAATTCAAGTGATGTTGAGACTCAGATGTGCGTATGTTTGAGTTTACGTGTGACTGGGGTTTGTTTGTAAGTGGGCAATTGCATTTGTGTTGGATTGGGAGTTGGAAGGAGTGGGGTTAGATCGAATCCAATGTATGGCTTTCTTTGGTTTATCCTTGCAGCAAATCAAGGAGCAGGCATGTCTGCCCGGGTGTCGTTCATATGCTGTATGTACGTTTAATAGACGCGTTTAAAGAGGTTATTATAGAAGAGTTCGGTGTGATTGGCGGGGATGTCGGATGCTGGTGTTGCTGGATATGCTGGGAGGCTCTGCGGGTGTGAGGATCAGGCTGAGGCTGTGGGGGTGAGGATCGCGGAGGCTCTGCAGGTGTGAGGATGTGAGGATGTGCGGGGCGGAGGCTCTGCGGGTGTGAGGATGGCGGAGGCTCTGGGGATGAGGATGGCGGAGGCTCTTGGGTGTGAGGGATGGCGGAGGCTCTGCGGGATGTGCGGAGAGCTCTGCGGGTGGAGGCAGTGAGGATGGCGGAGGCTCTGCGGGTGTGAGGATGTGATGCGGATGTGAGATGTCGGGAGGCTCTGCAGGATGTCAGGATGTCGGAGGCTCTTGGTGTGTGGATGGCGGAGGATGGCGGAGGCTCTTTGGGTGTGAGGATGGCGGAGGCTCTGCGGGTGTGAGATGTGAGGATGGCGGAGGCTGAGGATGGCGGAGGCTCTTTGGGTGTGAGGATGTGATGGCGGAGGCTCTGCGGGTGTGAGGGATGGCGGAGGCCCTGCAGGTGTGGAGATGTGCGGATGGCGGCTCTGCGGGTGTGAGGATGGTGGATGCTCTTTGGGTGTGAGGATGTCGGAGGCTCTGCAGGTGTGAGGATGTGAGGATGGCGGAGGCTCTGCGGGTGTGAGGATGGCGGAGGCTCTTTGGGTGTGAGGATGTGAGGATGGCGGAGGCCCTGCGGGTGTGAGGATGGCGGAGGCCCTGCGGGTGTGAGATGTGAGGATGGCGGAGGCTCTGCGGGTGTGAGGGATGGTGGAGGCTCTTTGGGTGTGAGGATGTGAGGATGGCGGCTCTGCTCTGTGAGGATGTGATGCGATGTGAGATGCAGGATGCTCTGGGATGATGTGGCGGAGGCTCTGCGGGTGTGAGATGTGAGGATGGCGGAGGCTCTGCGGGTGTGAGGCAGTGAGGATGGCGGAGGTTCTGCGGGTGTGAGGATGTGATGCGGATGTGAGATGTCGGAGGCTCTGCGGGTGTGATGATGGCGGAGGCTCTGCGGGTGTGAGGATGGCGGAGGCTCTGCGGATGTGAGGCAGTGAGGATGGCGGAGGTTCTGCGGGTGTGAGGATGTGATGCGGATGTGAGATATCGGAGGCTCTGCGGATGTGATGATGGCGGAGGCTCTGTGGGTCTGAGGATGGCGGAGGCTCTTTGGGTGTGAGGATGTCGGAGGCTCTGCGGGTGTGAGGATGGCGGAGGCTCTGCGGGTGTGGGGCAGTGAGGATGGCGAAGGCTCTGCGTGTGTGAGGATGTGAGGGTGTTGGATGTGTGAGAGTGTGCGACTGGAGGGTTGTTAGTCTTTGCTGATGTGAAGGTGTGAGGGTGTGAATGTGAACGTGATAAGGTGCTGAAGTGAGGGTTCGGAGCAGATTAACATGATGATCTGACACAACCGAAACTGCCACCTTGCAGCTTCACCAAACCATGTTGCCTTCTTCTGAAGGAAGAGACGGAACACAATGTGCTGGAACCTGCAGCATGTCAAGACAGTTCTCCAGAATGTCCGTAACTGTGACATAGTCTCTTTAATGCTGTTTTGGCTCTGTGACGTGTGATCACATGTGGCGTGTCACATATAGTTGTATAGTATGACCAGAAATTATTGAGAATTTTAGGAATATGTTTAATGTGATTTCTAGTATAAACAACCTTGACCAGATATCAAGTGCTTGGTTTCATTCAAGAGAGACAACTCCGTTAATCCTTTTTCATTAGTTTGTGAAGAATTATCCCCCTTTGTTTACTTGCTAGCAGACGACATTTTCAGTGATCCTCAGTATGGATGATTTAGAGAAGAGGAAGTTGATTTTAGAGTATTATAACAAAGACATCAGATCAGCTAAAGTGATTTCAAGTAGAACAGGCATCCCTTTGTCCACTGTTTATCGTGTTTTTGAAAAATATTGCAAATGGATATGGCATTGAACACCAGGAAAGCGCAGGTAGGCCCAGAAAATTGACTGTCGGTGACAGGAGGCGGCTTGGTATTCTTGTTTCTGAAACCAAACGAAGGAGTTTAGAAAACTTAAGGCTGGATATGATTGATAGAGGAACTGCTGTCTGCAAGGAGACAATTAGAACTGAGCTGCATGCAATGGGTTGGCAGAAAAGTTGAGGAATGCCATCACTGATCATGAAACCTGAACAAAAGGAGCGAAGGTTGAACTGGTGCTTACAGCATAGAAATTTTAACTGGGACAATGTGATTTTCTCAGATGAAAGTTCTGTGTGGCTGTTTCCTAATACGCTGAAATTCTGGACCAAACAAACTGAAAAACCTTCAGCGCCCAAAGTACAGTTCGGAATTTAACGTGTGGGGTGGCATATCTGTGTTAGGGGCAACGCCCCTCTGTGTATTTGAAGGGAATATTAACACTGAGCGGTACACAGATATTCTCGAGGGACATTTACTTCCATCTGCTCACGTGTTCTATGGACATTTTTGGATTTTCCAGCAGGACAACGAAGTAAAGGTACGTTGTTTGCAATTTTGTGGGGTTGTAATCCTAAATAGCATTCATCAATCGCTAGCACCTTTAAGAACATGTTGACGGATATGATACTCAACATTGAGCCACGAACAAGAATAAACAGTGATCTTATCCTTAAATGGATTTCAATTTTAACATAAAATTTATACAGGGTGCACGAGGTGGCCAGGCTTTTGATGACATAACCAGACCCTTGTTCAACTGTACCAGGTGATAAGAAAGTATGACACTTTATGGATAACAACTTCATATGATATATGATGTCATATATGATTAACACTGAGCGGTACACAGATATTCTCGAGGGACATTTACTTCCATCTGCTCACGTGTTCTATGGACATTTTTGGATTTTCCAGCAGGACAACGACCCAAAACATCGTTCAAAGCATTCACAGGCCTGATTTCGGACCCAAAATATGACATTATTAGATTGGCCATTTATAGCCCTGACCTAAATCCAATAGAAAATGTTTGGGGACTTATGAAGGAAAGTGTCAATAAGAAAAATCTGACAAATATTGCTGAAATGAAAGAAGAGGTGGTCCGATATTGGGACAGCATGAACCACGACTTTCTAACTTCTTTGATCAGTAGTATGCCCCGCCGCATTGAAGCCTGCATTGCTGCCCATGGTGACTTGACAAAATACTAGCTGTTCACCTGTCTTTGAATCTGGAGTTATGTTCTGCTAATATTCACATTAATACGTGAGTAATGAGTGAAAAAATATAAAAAAATGTACAATCTTTAAATTCTCAATAACTTCTGGTTGTACTGTAACATGTAGTTTTCAATAGTTTCCTTTATGGTTGTTGTTGAAGAACTCCCTGACCTCGGATCATCTTCGGAGGTCTCTCTTTCCGTCCGGAATTCTGCAGCCAATCTTTAAACAGTGGTGAAGGCAGGACGCCCTACTCTACAGATTTCAACATGGATGGCAGTAGGAGTTTGTCCATGTAGTCTGGGATATGTGATGATTGATCGACTGATTTTTAATGCCGCACTCAGCAATATTCCAGCTATATGGCGGCGGTATGGAAATAATCGAGTCTGGACCAGACAATCCAGTGATCATCAGCATGAGCATCGTTCGCAATTGGGATACGATGACATGCATCAACCAAGTCAGCGAGCCTGACCAACCAATCCTGTTAGTCGCCTCTTACGACAAACATGGGTTGATGAAGACCGGATAGGTGATGAAATCACTGCAGCTACTTGTGCCCATTTTCATCAACAGATAACATTTAGTCACTTTCATATACTGAGCTCCATTGGCCTTGGTTTTAAGTATATTAACTTTTAATTAAGGGTTGCGTTATTCGTTATTCATAGTTAAGCTCAGAACTGTTCAGCTACAATTTAGATAGATGTGAACATAAATTCGAGCGGAGATGATTTGTGCAGGGGGTGATTGCAAATGATGAGTTAAGCTGGCCATAAGCGTTAATGAATACATTGACAATGTGTGTGGGTGTAAAGGAAATAGACTTTAGTAGTAGATCTACAGACACATGATATCGTCTACTGGTGAACACTGTTATCAGAGTGCCAGACTTCCATAATCACACAACTCTCACACTCAAAGCTGTGCCGCAATCTATGCAGTACCCAGTGTACAGAGGCCCTCGTGTCTTTGTGAGGATTAAAGATGAAAATCAGATGGATCAATCGATAGGTCTCAGTGGTGATCGATAGCCAATCATCCGTGATCATATTTACACTAAGTTCTAATCGATTGACTGCAATGGTAGCGTAGCGATCGGCAAAGTAAGCGGGTGGGGTGCACCTAAGTGTTCACGTTCTCAGTACACGTCAACACACACCCACATCTCAGACCCACCTCACACCCCACACCACCACCACCATACCATGCCCACCCTCCTACCACACCTCCTTCTCTCCCTACCTCACTTCAATACCAGCGCCTCCCTCTGATCATAACTCAATCATTTCCTACTGCAACTCCCCCACTCATTCTCTACCTCAGTTCACACTACCTCCAGTTCACTACTACACATCTCAGTTCACATCCACATCCTCCTTCCACTACCACATCTCAGTTCACACCCTCCTCCACTACCACATCTCAGTTCACACCCTCCACTGCACGTCCACTACCACATCTCAGTTCACACCCTCCTCCACTACCACATTTCAGTTCACACCCTCCTCCTCCACTACCACATCTCAGTTCACACCCTCCTTCACTACCACATCTTCCTCCCGGACGACGCGAGCCGACACATCCATCACACTGTACAGTATGTGAGACGCGAGCCGACACATCCATCACACTGTACAGTATGTGAGACGCGAGCCGACACATCCATCACACTGTACAGTATGTGAGACGCGAGCCTACACATCCATCACACTGTACAGTATGTGAGACGCGAGCCGACACATCCATCACACTGTACACTCATGTGAGACGCGAGCCGACACATCCATCACACTGTACACGGTATGTGAGACGCGAGCCGACACATCCATCACACTGTACAGTATGTGAGACGCGAGCCGACACATCCATCACACTGTACAGTATGTGAGACGCGAGCCGACACATCCATCACACTGTACAGTATGTGAGACGCGAGCCGACACATCCATCACACTGTACAGTATGTGAGACGCGAGCCGACACATCCATCACACTGTACAGTATGTGAGACGCGAGCCGACACATCCATCACACTGTACAGTATGTGAGACGCGAGCCTACACATCCATCACACTGTACAGTTTGTGAGACGCGAGCCGACACATCCATCACACTGTACAGTATGTGAGACGCGAGCCGACACATCCATCACACTGTACAGTATGTGAGACGCGAGCCGACATCCATCACACTGTACAGTATGTGAGACGCGAGCCTACACAACCATCACACTGTACAGTATGTGAGACGCGAGCCGACACATCCATCACACTGTACAGTATGTGAGACGCGAGCCGACACATCCATCACACTGTACAGTATGTGAGACGCGAGCCGACATCGACACATCCATCACCATCACTGTACAGTATGTGAGACGCGAGCCTACACATCCATCACACTGTACAGTATGTGAGACGCGAGCCGACACATCCATCACACTGTACAGTATGTGAGACGCGAGCCGACACATCCATCACACTGTACAGTATGTGAGACGCGAGCCGACACATCCATCACACTGTACAGTATGTGAGACGCGAGCCGACACATCCATCACACTGTACAGTATGTGAGACGCGAGCCGACACATCCATCACACTGTACAGTTTGTGAGACGCGAGCCGACACATCCATCACACTGTACAGTATGTGAGACGCGAGCCGACACATCCATCACACTGTACAGTATGAGACGCTATACTTCTCAGTTGTCAATGAACGGTGTGGTCTTTAACGAATGTTGGGTAGTATAGTTAATCTACGATCACTCCAAATCTGTACACGATGAAGAGGCCAATTGAAAGGGATTAAATTATAAGTGTGGCGATTTGAAAAATCTATTTCTTGATGAGTTGCTTGTAGGCGGAAAGTATGAAATAGTCTTGATCTCTGTTGATAAAAGGCTTATGGCAACGAAGCTGACTTCCTGTCTTCCCTGTCGACAGGTGTTGCAATGTCATTCTTGTGTTGCAGTAAGTCAGGCTGGCATGCTAATCCCGTCCATGGATCGTGGTTGTTGCTACCAATGTATACACGACAACAGCACGAGGATCTGTACCGACACGTCTCTCACAGCGTAAATCAGATGTTGTTACATGATAATACTGGATAATGAAGGAATCAAGTGCAAATCAGAGTTTATTCGACACTTGTATTATTCATAGTCCTTCGCCCCTGTAGTTGCTAATGATGCATTGTACAAGTTGTACAGACCTTGGCGTTCTTGTATTGGGTGTTAAAACTCGTTAACACTCACTTGCTATTAACATTTGATTTGATGATCCACTACTTTTTCGAGAGTATATATACAATATTGTATGTATCACAGTTTAGGAATTTAGCTAGACTATGGACCAAGGGTTGGACTAGCTAAACAGAGCCGATCTAAAGGACTAGAGTGAGACTAAGGACCGAGGGTTAAACTAGCTAAACATAGCAAGACTAACACACGTCAGTGTTTAGTTGTTTTGGGTGACGCTGACACACGACTGAGAGACTAACGGATAAGTTAGTTTAGTTTTACGCCGCACTCGGCAATATTCCAGCTATATGGCGGCGGTCTACATTCATACATTCATACATACATACATACATACATACATACATACATACATACATACATACATACATACATACATACATACATACATACATACATACATACATACATACATACATACATACATACATACATACATACATACATACATACATACATACATACATACATACATACATACATACATACATACATACATACATACATACATACATACATACATACATACATACATACATACATACATACATACATACATACATACATACATACATACATACATACATACATACATACATACATACATACATACATACATACATACATACATACATACATACATACATACATACATACATACATACATACATACATACATACATACATACATACATACATACATACATACATACATACATACATACATACATACATACATACATACATACATACATACATACATACATACATATACATACATACATACATACATACATACATACATATACATATACATACATACATACATACATACATACATACATACATACATACATACATACAGTACTTTGTCCAAGTTTACTGCACGTTGCTGTACCCGCAACTAGGTGTTTGCACGTATTCATGTGGCCACCATCTGGTCATCTACTAACGGATTCGTGGGTTCTTTTAAGTGCACAGGGTTGTGTACTGTACACTAGGGGTTGTGACAACACTGAAAGAGTCTGCACACAAACTTGACTCCAAGGTTTTTACACCCGGTCACAGGTGGGCTCGATCATTCATTGATGCAGACATGGATCTGGATTCTGTTGACTGAAGATGGTGTTGCCATGGTTACTATATAACGTGGCCACCCAAAGGAAACACACGCCTGAGTCACAAAGTATAAGACGAAACAGAGTTTGCAATAAAATCTATTGATGTAAAAGAAGTCTGATGTATACACCTACACGTCAATGGCAGTTTTATGAAAAAAATAAAGGACGCTGGACTGACACAGTACCAAATGTGTCGTCACAAGATATGTGTACAATAAGTTAAGATTGGACAAGTTGAAGTTTATGAAATTTGGTTCGGATATGACGAAACGTTCTGTGGTAATAGTTCCAGGAATCACATTTCTCTCTCCTTAAAGTCGTACTGGACGTCCATTGGTAGATGTTCACTGATTGATGTTCACTAGTAGATGTTCACTGGCTAACACAGGTAGTATAGATCACAGTAAAGAATTTCACACAGTGATCTAGTCAATATCTGTTGTTCCTGTTGTGTCTATACCTTTCCCTGTTAAATCCCTACCCTTCCCTGTTAAATCTATACCCTTCCCTGTTAAATCTATACTTTTCCCTGTCAAATCATATCCTTCTCTGTTAAATCTATACCTTTCCCTGTTAAATCATACCCTTCCCTGTTAAATCTATACCTTTCCCTGTTAAATCATACCCTTCCCTGTTGAGTCCCTACCCTTCCCTGTTAAACCATACCCTTCCCTGTTAAACCCCTGCCCTTCCCTGTTAAATCAATACCCTTCCCTGTTAAATCCATACCATTTCCTCATGAATCCTCTCCCTTCCCTATGGAACCCCTTCCCTCTTGAATCCACACCCCCTCCCTCATTTCCCCAGCCCCACCCATGCCACCACCAGCCGCACCCACGTCTCCCTTTACACGCAGTCTAGGACAATGTTGTCCTCAACACTTCCCAGGAGTTTCATCAGGAGCTGCACAGTGTGAGCCACGAACAGGTCCGCTTGTCATAGGGAGGGTGCCAACTTTGCTGGCGTTTTAACTCGTAAATCCATCTTGTTCGGGGCCCACACTTAGCTGTCGTCTCCTTATCTCCTGCTCTAGATCTTCATATCCAGAAGACTCGTCCTGCATATCGGCATTAGGCTCATTTTGGGTAGCAAAATTCGGGGTATAAGGCTGAAGGTCCAAAGGTCTTCCAAGACTTTCATAGTGTTCTAGAGGTCTATCGTCCCACGTGACGTCGTCAACATTCTTGCTTCTCTTACCATAATCCACGTGCCAGCCCTGTTGACGTTTCCGGTAAGCTGGACGCCAGCCCTGGGACAGCGTATTGTAGATGTCGTTCAGAGATACGTCTCCATAGGCAGAGTGCCATCATTGTCTGCATTTCGAGCGGCATGCCAGCCTGAATTTTGCCGTAATCGAAGGGCCACCCCTGTTGCCGTTTGCCATAATCGGAGTGCCATCCCTGTTGCCGTTTGCCGTAATCAGAGTGCCATCCCTGTTGCCGTTTGCCGTAATCAGAGTGCCACCCCTGTTGCCGTTTGCCGTAATCAGAGTGCCATCCCTGTTGCCGTTTGCCGTAATCAGAGTGCCATCCCTGTTGCCGTTTGCCATAATCGGAGTGCCACCCCTGTTGCCGTTTGCCGTAATCAGAGTGCCATCCCTGTTGCCGTTTACCATAATCAGAGTGCCACCCCTGTTGCCGTTTGCCATAGTCTGTGTACCAGCCTTGTTGTCTTTTATGGTGTCTTCCGTTGTCGACATCCAAGCTTTGTCGTCGCCTAATTCCCGGGGCGTTCCTCTTCCAGGGGAGGGTCTGGGCATTAGGGCGATACAGTAGGTCCCAGATCAGATCCCCGAGTTCGGAGTCGCTCGGTGTGAGCTCCTCGTCATTGTGGCGGAGGTATTCGTCGATGAAGTCGTATGAAGGGGAGTAAGAGAGGGAGTCACTTTCGCCAAATTCTCCTGAATAAAAAAACAGTACGTTAACTTAATGTATGCAAGCTAAAGGAATAACAAATTAGACATATAACATTGAAAGGAAGAAAGTTGCTACACTTCAAAGGTTGTATATGATACTGTTAAAATACCGATAATATTTTTGCATATTTTCAGCTACGTGGATTACCGCATGGAGCCTTGGTTTGAATGTTTACATCTACAAGGCTTTACATTTTACTTCTGCATCTATCTCTGTGTGGAGCCTTAGTTACATAGTTACATCTACGCCCATCCCTGTGTCGTGTCTTGGTTTACACATGTACATGGAATACCGTGTGGAGCCTTAGTTTTACATCTTTACATCTGCATGGATTATTGTGGGAAGCCTCAGTTTTACATCTTTACATCTGCATGGATTATTGTGGGGAGCCTCAGTTTTACATCTTTACATCTGCATGGATTATTGTGGGGAGCCTCAGTTTTACATCTTTACATCTGCATGGATTATTGTGGGGAGCCTCAGTTTTACATCTTTACATCTGCATGGATTATTGTGGGGAGCCTTAGTTTTACATCTTTACATCTGCATGGATTATTGTGGGGAGCCTCTCAGTTTTACATCTTTACATCTGCATGGATTATTGTGGGGAGCCTCAGTTTTACATCTTTACATCTGCATGGATTATTGTGGGGAGTTTTACATCTTTAGTTTTATTGTGGGGAGCCTCATCTTTACATCTGCATGGATTATTGTGGGGAGCCTCAGTTTTACATCTTTACATCTGCATGGATTATTGTGGGGAGCCTCAGTTTTACATCTTTACATCTGCATGGATTATTGTGGGGAGCCTCAGTTTTACATCTTTACATCTGCATGGATTATTGTGGGAGAGCCTCAGTTTTACATCTTTACATCTGCATGGATTATTGTGGGGCCTCAGTTTTACATCTTTACATCTGCATTTTATATTCAGTTGGGGATTATTGTAGGGAGCCTCAGTTTTACCTTTACAGTTTTACATCTCTTTACATCTGCATGGATTATTGTGGGGAGCCTCAGTTTTACATCTTTACATCTGCATGGATTATTGTGGGGAGCCTCAGTTTTACATCTTTACATCTGCATGGATTATTGTGGGGAGCCTCAGTTTTACATCTTTACATCTGCATGGATTATTGTGGGGAGCCTCAGTTTTACATCTTTACATCTGCATGGATTATTGTGGGGAGCCTGCATGGAGTTTTACATCTTTACATCTGCATGGATTATTGTGGGGAGCCTCAGTTTTACATCTTTACATCTGCATGGATTATTGTGGGGAGCCTCAGTTTTACATCTTTACATCTGCATGGATTATTGTGAGGGAGCCTCAGTTTACATCTTTACATCTGCATGGATTATTGTGGGAGCCTCAGTTTTACATCTTTACATCTGCATGGATTATTGTGGGGAGCCTCAGTTTTACATCTTTACATCTGCATGGATTATTGTGGGGAGCCTCAGTTTTACATCTTTACATCTGCATGGATTATTGTGGGAGCCTCAGTTTTACATCTTTACATCTGCATGGATTATTGTACATCTGCATGGATTATTGGAGCCTCAGTTTTACATCTTTACATCTGCATGGATTATTGTGGGGAGCCTCAGTTTTTACATCTTTACATCTGCATGGATTATTGTGGGGAGCCTCAGTTTTACATCTTTACATCTGCATGGATTATTGTGGGAGAGCCTTCAGTTTTTAGTTTTATATCTTTACATCTGCATGGATTATTGTGGGGAGCCTCAGTTTTACATCTTTACATCTGCATGGATTATTGTGGGGAGCCTCAGTTTTACATCTTTACATCTGCATGGATTATTGTGGGGAGCCTTAGTTTTACATCTTTACATCTGCATGGATTATTGTGGGGAGCCTCAGTTTTACATCTTTACATCTGCATGGATTATTGTGGGGAGCCTCAGTTTTACATCTTTACATCTGCATGGATTATTGTGGGGAGCCTTAGTTTTACATCTTTGCATCTGCATGGATTATTGTGGGGAGCCTCAGTTTTACATCTTTACATGTACATGGATCCACGAGTGGAGTCTTTGTCTAACATATTTTCATTTTTAGGGCAAGGTCATGCCGTCGAGAGGCATGGCTTTTGCCTTCATGGAGACCTTATGCGCTGTCTCAATTAATCCGACGGATGGTGGGAGATATTTAAGCTCTAGCTCGCCTTACTTACACGTTTCCATGATAATCCACATAATCCCATAGGGTTGGAGACTTTCTTGCCCTTAAGCGATAAATGAGCATTTGGAATAAAGCCAATACTGTAAATTAATTACAATAAGCCCGATGTTAAATGTTGCAGTCTGGAGGCCGTCGGTAGCTGCTCCTCTACAAGGACACCACACATGCTGCAGGTCAAATGGGCTGTTTGGGATCCGTGAGTATAACATAACGCTATGATAATATGAGCTATCAACAATTGCAACTGACCATATTTAGTTGATTGTGTCGGAAAGTTGTGTCCGTGGCACTGAATGTGACCTGTCGGAGAACCATGACTCTGGGGACTGTCACTGACTTCACTTTTAATTCCGGAAAATATCAACTTTTAAAGTAAACATCTAAACTATGAACTGTTTGGAGACTGACTACGTCTAAACTATGAACTGTTTTGAGACTGACTACATCTAAATTATGAACTAGTCAGACTGACAGTATGAACGGTATGAACCCTCAAGATTGACAATATCAAAAACTATGAAGTGTTTGGAGACTGACTACGTCAAAACTATGAAGTGTTTGGAGACTGACTACGTCAAAACTATGAACTGTTTGGAGACTGACTACGTCTAAACTATGAACTGTTTGGAGACTGACTACATCTAAATTATGAACTAGTCAGACTGACAGTATGAACGGTATGAACCCTCAAGATTGACAATATCAAAAACTATGAAGTGTTTGGAGACTGACTACGTCAAAACTATGAAGTGTTTGGAGACTGACTACGTCAAAACTATGAACTGTTTGGAGACTGACTACATCTAAACTATGAACTATATGGAGCCTGACTACATCTAAACTATGAACTATATGGACCCTGACTACATCTAAACTATGAACTGTTTGGAGACTGACTACGTCTAAACTATGAACTGTTTGGAGACCGACTACATCTAAACTATGAACTGTTTGGAGACCGACTACATCTAAACTATGAACTGTTTGGAGACCGACTACATCTAAACTATGAACTGTTGGGAGACCGACTACATCTAAACTATGAACTGTTTGGAGACCGACTACATCTAAACTATGAACTGTTTGGAGACCGACTACATCTAAACAATAAACTGCTAGTACTGAGCATTGAGTGTGTCAAAACCTCTAAAAAAATAAAAACGAAGAAAAAATAGCATGCACGAGTCGCCTGGATATGTGCGCTATATAAATATTCTATAATAAGTACGAAATCAGAAAAGCAAGATTTATGGATGTCAACTTCTTCTTTATTATGAATAACACGGCGTTGCGGAGTGTATGCTTGCTCCTTTATCAACCTCAGGAAGGAGTCAGCATACACTCTGAAACGTCGTGTTATTCACAATAGAGAAGTTGACATCCATAAATCTTGCTTCTTATGCAGTCCACTTCTAACTGCCCTTCAACGATTTGATTACGACATTAGTACAGACAAAACAACCAAGTACAAGGTCAACTGGACAGGATATCCCCTGTCGGTATGCTTGATACTGACGCTGAAGGGGTCGTTGTCGGCACGGGTACTACAGATATGTACCCCAGGTCATAATGAGAAACGTACCCTAGGAAGATTCCATTCCCATTGTGTCGTATTCTTGATCGGAACTGTCATACTGTTGTATTAGGTACATTTGATTGCGTTATGTAAGTAATGAGAATACACAGTAACGGATATTTCGCGATGATGAATACCACTCGCAATCAGTTGAACGGGAACAACTACATGCAGTTTCGGTTTTGGATTGCGGAATATGGACTCGTCCGCCTTTTAGGGTACCGGGTACGTTTCTGTATTTTGACTTTGTTTAGGGTACATATCTGTATATAGAAACGTACCTGGGGTACGTATCTGTAGTACCTGTGCCATGACCCCTTCAGCGATACTGGCCGGGTTAGCCTGATTGTGTCATTCACTTCTACAGACTACAAGAACAAAGGAGGCCCTGTCCGATTGACCTTGAACATCGTTGTGCATGTATAACTACAGTAAACGATAAACTTGTGACACTCGATATACAGATCAGGTTCTATAAATACGGTTTTATGACAACATGTGTCTTCAAAGGTTTACAGTTATGTAGGAAACCATTGGTTAGATTTCGACCAGAAAATCATTCTCCATCTGTATTTAGACAGGTTCAAGTCACACTACTGCACACACACACTCACAGAATACACACAGACACACGCACAACACGGGCACACTCACAGACATACACTGGATGCAAGATTCAGTTGACATATTTAATCATGGCGGCAAAATATGGAGGTAATGTCATAACCTGAGAAAGTTCTGAAAGCGCCATGGCCGATGTCCCACGTGACAAGTCACGTCGCCTCACAACGTGGCGTCGGTGACACCGTAAAACAATGGACGGGTCATGAGGATTGGTTACATCAACTGAGAGTAAATTCGATGATTGTTGGCAGTAGATTGATTGGAAGAAACCTGACCCCTTTTCCTGTCCCTCGCCATGGCTGGTCACGCCACGACATGCGCCAGAAGGACAGGCTTGGTCCACCGCTTGTAACGGCCTCACTTGATCACAGGCCACAACACGCTTGGATCACATTACAGGGTCCGTTATAGGAAGCGCTTCTGTAATATCCCGTCCCGAGTCCGTGTGAGTGCATTTATAGTCCTGATGAACAATTGACATATATCCTTGTCCCTTTCTCCGTTTTCATCTCCGATGTGTTCAGATGACATAAAACGCAGATATTGCATGTTTCTTATTGATTGGTTTGCGCCATGTT